ATATAATATATATATATATATATATATATATATAGTATCTTATACAACACTACGTATAAGACTGATGAGCTCCTTCGGACTGCCCACCGTCGGTTTGACCAAATTGGAAGTATGCACAGATAAATAAGCATCCATAAATTGAAATGGCATAAACGGAAAACTCAGTTGAATCTATCATTTGTATTTTTCAGCCAAAGATGCAAAAGGGACACGTTTTAGTAGGAACCATACGCAAGATATCAAAGTGTTTCTCCTTCATACATCACTCATAAGTTTGGTGAAACTCCCGGATAGTCCACTAACGGTTCCACTCTTTTCGTCCCCAAATTCTCAAGAGTTTAAACAACTTTATGAGTAGTGTCATTACTAAGGAAAATGTAACATCTTGGACATTTTTCCAACTGATAAATGAGGCCCTCTTTGTGGAATACATTCAGTAGGATAATACCAACCAAGAGATTCAGTTACGTCTCCCATTAACTGTTTATCTATACTCTTCTTATAATGAACTCAAGTTTTATACGTCTATCAAACAGAATCCTCTGTATGGTTTCCAGGGAATCCCACAAAAGATAAATTCCGCTGCGATTCAGTTAGATCTCCCCTAAAAACACCAACTTAATTTACGAACGAGTTTATTTTTTCGCGAATCTATACGAAATGTTTTAAAAATGCGAGGACAGATGAGGCAAACGGGCAAGGAAACAAGTCAGGAATATAAGTATTATTTTGAATAAACAAATAAATAAATAGGAGTAAATAATGCAAACCAAAAATACTTTGGTGAAACAAGGAAGCGCTCACGAATAGTAAACTGGCAGACAGATAAAACATAAAAATGAAATATCAGTAAAACACTGGACAAGTCCGCATATCACTGGTTGAAAGTTTGGTCAATGCAATGAAGAGACGCTGTTGGTCCGACAAGGGCATTCCCAAGTCCGCGAGCAATCTGTCTGACAATGTTTGGTTGGCGTTACGCCGAAATCGGTCTAATTCTACCACCATGGAACCATCCATTCCAGAAAACGAAGGAATGTAGGCTGCTAGACCGGATTCCGCCAACCATCGAGCAACGTCTGATTTTGTCCAACAGAGCAGATTGGGCAGCCCGGAAGACGTATCGTCAGGACCTGGGCCTAGGGACGAAGCTAGTCTCAGAGGTGTATAAGAGGAATGTCTTGGCAGCATGGTCGGAGCCCGATTATCTGCAACTTTCAAGGTAGCAGATGGGAGGAGTGCCAAAGCCGAGTCGTCCAATTCGCCTGGGAGTTGAAATGGAGGATACAAAAGTGAGAGTATGGTGACTAACTAGAATGTGTATTTTCAATAAGCATGGGATAAAGTAAGAGAGTGGAGGTAAGGCCCGTGTATGGTGAATGGTTAGCATCCACTTCCCGTCCACAGGTTATCAATTAAAAGATCATTTACAGTGCATCTCTACCCCGAGGACTGGCGGAAATCGCACACTATCTTGGGGTGAGGCACAGAGTTCGAGCCGTACTTTTGTAGCATTTTTCAGTACACAAAAGTCAACTGATATGAAGAAAGATACATAAGTTGTTCCACCAATCTGACAGAAATAAAAACCGACAGTGTCGACGCACACAATGAGTTACAGGTTAACAATCTAACAACTTTGTCAGCATTTGTCTTCTGAGTGAATTTAACAGCACATGCATTTAATTCGCGTTAGACCAGAAGAACCATTCAGAGGCAAAACAAATGACAAATACGAAGACCCTGAGAGTTTCACGACATGGCACTCTCGGACATCCACTCCTGTGAACTGGTTCAGCCCCCCACTGATTACGGTGGCGTCTAAAATAAAAATAAGATAATCATTCAGCTATAACGCTCTTTCGGTACCTAACTGCCATGCCATTAAAAAGAAGCATGAGGGCTGGGATACTGCCAGGATGCCCAAGTACTTTACAACTGTTGCACATTTGTGCATTTTTGAACGTGTTTGTCGGCTTTGCTGAACCGAAGCACTGCTCTTACAATTTTACGCAACCGCATTTGAATCGGGGATCTTCTCAGCTTAGAAAAGAAGCAAGTTTGATTCTTTAAACCGCCATTGCCTCCGATGCGTACCGAAAGTTCGGCACGAGGAGAAATTACACGATGACGAGATCCAGAAGATGATCGATGTGCGTTCAGAAGGAACACTTTCGTTGCCTAGATGACATGTCACCCGAAGGAAGCACAAGGGCTGGGATACGGTCAAGTTGGCCAAGCGGAGACAGGGGAAGCCGGGATACAGAGGTCGGGTTCAAACCATAGACTTTCCGGTCAATAAATTCGCGTTCTAACCACTGAGTTTGGAGTGCATTAGCTATATGGAACAAAGTACGAAACGGTTCAGCAAAACAGCGAAGTACTAAAGTGTTCTGAATGATTTGCACCAATCACAAAAGAATCCTACGCGATGATTGACCGTTCCGCTACTCGTCTATTCGTATGACCCACCCTAGAATGATTTGCAATGAGGGATGGAGAACAACGTAGATTGGACGACAGCTATCTAACATTCATTTTCTAGTCGGATGGATCAGATTATTACACTTGCCGACTCCACCACTGTCGAATCACTGGTGCCTCACGACGATACAGCAATGTCGGTCTGATGAAGGTAGAGAAGGAAGTGGCTTAGTGATGCCTTGGCACAAATGTACACAACCTCCAACGAACGCCATTGACTTCCGTTTGCACCGCGTCTAGCGAAGTACAATCAGAGTCGAGGGACTCCATCCTCCAAGATGAGTTGAATCCTCAACACCCAGACTTTTCGTAACCTTCGATCCCAACTGTCAAGTCATACATAATCCACTCCGAATTCGGTATGGAAACTTTTCTTGACTAGGACAGTAACTCGGCATGCACAACACACGACCAGGTCACCGCAGTTGGCGTTGGACGCAATCCTCGAAGAAATTTTCACAAAAATCAAACACTACTTGTTTGATGACTATATCATTAGGAATTCTTTATCGTCAACAACAAAGCCCATAAACAACTAAACACCCATAGGTGCCTGAAGTGCTACAGCGGCAGCCATGATGCAGTGGTGCGATGATTCAGCTTTTTCATGAATCCGTCAGTCTGATTAATCGACCAATTCACTTACCAAAACTTTTAGGCGTAGGCTAAGCCTAATTAACTATTATCGAAGGTATCCAAGTCCAACCAGTCATATAATTGTCATTACACAACAATAATTTTGTGGGGTTAAGGACACATTGGCACCGCAGAAACTCAAAAACTTATAGGAGCTACCAAAATAGCTGGAACGAAGTAGTGATCCCATGTAGGTGTGTACAATCCTAACATCTATCTTTCATCGACCAGTGATAAGCGACAAATCTTCCCTGCAAAGAAAACCCCTCAAAATACCAGAGAACCGATATGATAACTCCAACCCCTGAACTCTCTTCTCCTTCTGTAGGTCAGATTGGTGCACCCAGTTGATACAATCCTTAATACTAGGTTTTACTGTTAGTGGGTTGCAATCAGACGCGGAACCTACTCTGTCTTCTGGGGGCAGATTAAGGTTGATGTTGAACTGCCCTGACGTCTTCCACTTGCTACCTACTTACTGTCGGCAGCGTTCGCTCCGTTTAGTAAGGTGCTCTTTTTCATAAGTTCCTAAGAGATTGTCGGAAACGATGAGAAGTAAGCTATTCAACCAATTCAATCTGGTTGCAGGCCAACTAGTACTCATCTTTACGTCTCTGGGAGTCCGCATTTTGCCTTGCCCAAGCTTCTACACCGATTGGCGAAGCGTAAACTGGTGTTCAGCACACTTCACCAATGAACCTCGTTAATGGTTGACAGCACGGCAGAAATGGCTCTGAACCTCGCAAGTCATCATTTACCACAAATCCGTAAACTGTTCTTTGGATGACACTGCCAGCACCATACTGACTCAATTCGTTTCGGCTGTAATACTGTTTCGCATCCCTAGCAGTGCTGTGATATGCCTGCGGATTTTTTCGTTCGGTCTCAAGCCTTGATCTGTATTGGGTAGGCACGTAGGATCAGAATGACCCATTCGTATCTTGAAGAACCTAAGCTGAGGAGGGTGTGGAGATATGTGGAAATAACAGTTCGCGCACATGATGCCACAGAACTGAACAGTCCTCAAACACAGCAAACACGTGTTCATCGTGCGCGGAGCGTGGTACCCGAGCGCCACATCTAGGCTAGCGCATAACACGATGCTTACGAGCGTGAAACAAGGAATTTACGGAATAGCCCTACTTATGATAGGGATCCCCTTCCTGTTAGCTGGCAATGTGTGTTTGTCAAAATGGCCAAGTTATCGGGATTTGATTGTATTCCGGTGTGTGAAGACGAACAAGGGGTCAAGCCAAGTCTGTAAAAGCCATCTCTTCCGCAGTGGTGGATTCACATTCAACTTCATAGTGGCATTTGTGATGCTACATCCAAAATCGGCTGTAACAGCGTGGCTCATCACCCTAAACTCGATCAAATGGCGGGTACCGGTAGCCATCAGAGACAGTAAGCTAATCATCTGACTCATCATTCAGAAGCTGATTTTCTTAAACATCTGTTTATCGTGACAGTTCCACACTACTAACGATTGCTATTATCATTTATTTTTGAAGAGCATGGTCACAAACATAAAAAGTGAATGCAAGCGATGAATGCGAAAGAGTAACAGGAGAATATGGGAGAAAAGAGAGAAACGTCTCATTCGAAATCATGCCAAGGACAGTGCCAGTCTGATGAGGCTGGCACACACTACTAACGAGTGGTACTATGCATAGGGAACGCATACCATTGAAGTTACACAACACCTGATCAGGCGAAATGCTCAGTGTGACTAGAGGATGACTGGCGCTATATCTTGTCACAATACTGATCAGCTACTGGCACTCGTGACAAACTACACCTTCCAACTTGAACTGTGTATGTTGCAGACTCCAATGGAAATAGCAAGGCCATTAATAAGTGACGATGGGGTGGAGAAAAATGATGAACCCGCGTCGCAGGCACTTGAACAACCGAGGTTTTATGGGACTGAGCTTAACAAGCAACTTGGAACATTACTCTCAGCAGCCTAAGTAACTAATTGTTGATAAAGAAGAGTCAATGGAGCGAAGAAAGTAACCGACGGAATCTCAGCTACCTGCTCTCTATTAAAAGCCGCCATCAGACTACAACTAACTCCATCCACCAACGAAGTCATCATCTTCCTTAAGGCGGGTCAGGTACTGTGCTGGAAGATGATTCGGTTATAGGCTCACCTGTTTTCGACTGTGGAACAGTTCCCTCCGATTCCATTGACAAACTGGATGAAGGATGGGCATGCCCCATATGCTCAGAGACTGCTGCAGGTGAAGCTAGGAAAGATGATAACCTGTGTGTGAGCCACGTAAAGGCTGGTCTCTCATCTCCCGGAAGGCGACGCCCACGGTCTCCTAGCTGCTCAACGAGCGTCCGCACTGCATTGTCAAACATGGTCTCATCACAGAGCGGTATGCACTTGATTGTGGTCAAAAGCATTGCAAGCCAACCGTCCACAACGACGTTTTCCTGCAACTCCAGTGGATAGAAGGGTATTTGTAGCAAATAGGCAAACAACATCCCTTGTCGACAATGCTGCGAGTCTATGAACGCCTGAGAAATACCCAAAATCAGTCCGGAAGCTTGCTGAATTCCTTTGGCCATTCCAGCTCCGAACAAGCCTTCTGAAAAAGCAAGCGGTAGAAGACAATTTTCAAATATTTAACAGAAACACTAAGCATCAAGAAAAATAAACAGTACGGCCGACCAATCGACTTATGGCAGTCGTTAGTGACGACTTCGCTCTGATGACGTACTGATGGGGATTGGGCAGCTATTCTACAAACGGGGACATCGCACTTTGCTGTTTGAGTCTTCTTAACTTTCCATTTCAATCACGGAACGATTTGCCAGATCAGTTTTTATAAGAGAAATTCTCCTCGCAAATGACAGCCCAGTTCATATGGTCATCTTTTTTAATTGACGCAGACGCCTAGTGCTCTTGGTCGCTGTTGTTGTTTGTGTCATTTTTTAAGCAGTCTCGCGCCATTTCACCTGCCTCATCTCCATTAGGTCGGTGGTTAGTGGAGTATTACCCCATGCAGCTTTGATGCAATGCGTGTACACACATCTAGTGATTTTTCATACCTCTTTTGGGGAAAAGCCGAGTAGATCTGATGGCAGTGTAGTTCGGTTGGTCGGCGTGCAGTCCAACAGTGACGTGTTTTGCTCATGACTCTGGCAAAGTTCATTAGCCTGAACGGAGCAAGGGAGAGCAATGAGAAGATTACAATTTCACTCCGTGTTAAACATTCCCCGATAATATAAAACAACACACGATTCGCGAAAGAGTGGGAAGCAGAATGCAACGCTAGGGACAAGGTAATATATCTTACAGGGGATACACTAAATAACACTGGGGTCAGCGCAGGACAATAGAGAAAAAAGTCAAAAACGCAACAAGCACGGTAAGTGTAGCTCGTCTAGGCTACAGTAGAGTATGTCTGCACTTTTTGCCCATTAAAGTCCAGTTCTCCGAAAGAATGGAGTAGCTCAATGGAAGGTCGGATGAAGTATTTTTGGAACTGTTGCGAAAATATGGTACGAGTGAAGTCCACAAATTATCATCTATAGGTTGTATACTCACGTGCCGAAAATTGCGCTTTTGTTCAAATTAAGGATCCCATCGTGTAAATCACGGGTACCTAATGCCCAAAAGCCAACAAACGTTGTACCGTAGCTTGGCATGTGTTCAGGTCAATGTGAAGATCTATCCTATAGTCTTAACAGCAAGTTACGAATTTCAGAAGCACAATCCGAGTAAAGTTGCAGGACCCGATCTCAACCCGCTAGATGGCACGTTGAAAATGTGCCAGAAAGTGAGTGGTATTTGAACAAATCCGCAGCATTTGTGATGAAAAGATTAAATGTTGCGAGAAAACGGTCTAATTTTTTTAAGTATACTGTGCACGGTAGCCGCTTATCAGAGAAGCCAGACATGTTCAACTTTCTCATCCTGGATGCCTTCATTGTGCAGACTTACTGAACCGCCAGTGCACTTCACCTTATTCACACCACAAGACAACTTAACCAAGGTGTCCTGGTTTCACACAGTTCACAGCCGAACTTCTTTAAGCGAAAGATTTTGCTTACAGTGGACCGCAAAGAAAACATTTTCGGAGATGGCAGAGATCTGAGAACCTGTCTGAGAATCTCCGACGACGAGTTCCAGTCCTTCGACTTGGAAAAGAAGGGGACCCTGAAAGACCACATTTTTCTTCCACCCGACCATAAGCCCCCTGGTAACTTGTATATTCTGTCACATTTCGCAATGGATAAACAGAACACAGGTGAAGATAAAACCTGAGATATGAAGTACGATAGTATAAATGAGGGAGGAGTTGAAAACCGAGTTTCAAGGGAGTTAGAAAAATAATCAGATATACTGAATGACTTACGTATCTGATCTGCATCCATCCATACATCATAACCCAGGTCCTGTAATTTGTCTCGAACGCGTAACATCACATCCTGATTCCGATGGGAGTAACTGATCATAACATGTCCACGACGGGAACACTGCCGACGTTCTAAAGCCATCATCTCTGCTATCTCCTGTTCACCTCCGGATGAAGGTAGGGCATTGGAATAAGACACGGTGCACAAAATACTTCTGGCAGCTTTTACACAACTATCAGGCCAGTTGAAATCGTCAGAAAACCGCTCGACAAGGCCACGTATAACAGAACCCGGTTTTAAACTATCCATACTTTCCGGAACTAATGAAAGAAACCACAAAAAATTCAGGGTCTTCTCCGCCAGACCATGAGCTTCTTTGATAAGTGTGGGTACAAACTCTGCTCCATCCGGAACATAGGGGTATTTCAATTCATGCGCCACGGTAAGGGATTTCTGGATGGATTCCATGGCATTGTTTCTGATAAGAGCTTTCTTGTTCCTGTCAAGCTTGGCCAAGTTTGTGAAACCGACTAGCAGTTCCTCTACGCTGTAGCCGAACTTGCTCGAGTACAGAGTAGTTGATCCATTCAACGCATCATCCAGTGCAGTCAGTAAATAGACGATATGCAAATCATCTGATTCGTTATGATCTTCGTTGGGAAGAAACGAAAGCAGAAAATGTATAGCAGTTTTTAATGCATGGTCATGCAATCGGAGTCGCAGTGCCGCCGTCGTTTGTTCTGGCCCATGATAGCCAAGTGCGAGTGCGTCCAGATCTTGCTGGCCTTCGCTAGTATTGAACTCTGTCAGAAAACCTGAGAGGATATTAAAAGCATTTGCCTCCTTGAGTTGCCACACAGCATTTGGGATGTGATTTACTACATTCTGCAGTATACCAACAGCGCCGTGAGCCAGCCACAGAGCATTTTGGTCTCGATTGCCCACCGCTTCATGCAGTTGTACGAGACTAAGCAGTCGGAATAGATGACTAATAACTCCGGCAGAAACCAGCTTAACACACAATCCATCTGCTTTGTCAGTAACATTCCATATGATTATGTGCAATTTTATGAAGTTGGTCACACAGCGATTCACCGAGTGAGAAATATAGTCCACTTCGTCGGTGCGACATAGCAATTCCAAGTAACGCATATAGAACTGTGTAAAATCATCACTCATGAGCAATTTGATCAGCCATGTTGCAGTTCTTGAGGTATAGGCCAGTGTGCTGCTGTAGCTTCGAAGTTGGCATAAAATATCATACATGTCTTCATCGTGAATGGTGTCAGCGGGTTTACGTGAAAGGTGTTTTTTAAATCTGGTCGTTAAATCAATCTCACTCAATGCGTCGTCCTCTGCACAGGCCGGAAGCATAACTTTGAGCAGTGAGAAAGCATTGAGGAATCACTGGCCTCTTGACAGAAAATAGACTGAGTACTGTCTGAAACATCAGAAAAGTAAAGCTAGTAGGTAAAGCGATCTAAACGATCTACTCACAGGTAACAATTCACCCAAAAGACGAAGAAATCTCAAGATGGTTAGAATGAAGTATCAATCGTTCAGCTGCCATGGAAACGGAAGGAGGTAGGAGGGAGGGATACTTGCAGGTTACCCGAACCTAGACAGGAAGTCGGGATGCTGAAGTTGGGATGGTGAGTCACAAAATCAAACACGCCATGAAACAAGTACGTTTTATCACCACGAGAGCAACCGGAGTGAGTCTAGTGAATGAGCGAAACGGAGCACAGCTGTGACATTCAGAACTCTTCTCCGGACCAGACTAGGTCCTCATTCAATCGATAACTGAAACCGAAATAAAGACTGGAACGAGCTTTTTTGAGACTGCATTGGCGTTCTACACCCTAGGTTAACTTTTTGGAACACACAGAAATAATTTGGTTATCTTTAAGGAAAAAACAACTTTGCATGCGCAAACTGTGCACTGCAGTCACCAAAAGAGAAAGGGATCTCCGGCACCTGACAAGTTTGTTGTTCCATTGTTTCAGTCAGCTCTGAGTCTTGTGGTTCAAGCGCTCTGGGTTGCCTCGCAGGTGATTCGTCGAATTGTCGTGACTATATAATTCGGCCGCTACGGATTCTTGAATACACCGTTTGGTCTCTGGAACGCGAAACAATCAGGTCATCAAAAGTTTTAGCTGTCTGCTCCTTTCTGATGATTGGTCGTGCAACAGAATACCAAGCCGCGTAAAGGTCCTCTTCAAGTGACTACCCGGCCACCAAGTAAAGACCAATGCAATCACCTGGTTTTGGACAGACTCTTGTATACTTCCTCGAATACCGCATCGGCCAATACGGATTCCATCTATTGGACGGAATCTAGTCGCAAAATCTCTCTACCTGCGACCTTCACAGCTTCCACAAAATAGACATCCATTTGTTTCCTGACCGTGTTGGCCCTGTGTATCGGCACACACACCCACTCATAAGTTGCAGGAACAGCCAGGGAGATCTTTCACCAGATGCAATGAGCACTTCTGTAATTATCAGAAAAGCGCCTGCATCAGTTATCATGTTCCATCGCTTAGTGAAAGTGCCAAAGGAGTTCCGCCCTAGACAAGATGATGAGGAAATGACAGTTACACGTTGGATGCGGTGGCCTAATCATTCTACTGACGTAAAGTTGTTTCAACTGATCGATAGAGCCGGCAGTAAGACAGCTGTGCATTGGATGCAATAGCTTTGATGCAGGAAAACCAATGACGGCATGACAAGATCATACATTGGTTAGTCTGGTGCCGTGACCCACATCCAGAGACCTGGTACTTATAAAGGCGACTAGGCATTATTCGCAGCCAAGTCATGGACTGACAGCTCATGGGTCGTCTTCACTCGACATGTGGTTCAGCGAAAGGGTTGCTTCGAAGCAAACGAAGTACACTACCCAACCAACTTAACCTAAGTAGTGTGACCAGTTGATCAGTGGGAAGAAAGATATTTTCCCTGAAAACCACCTGGCGCAGGTCGGCGTAGGTCCAGACCTAAAACCGTCACCTTATCGTGCTGGTCGGGCTTCTGTACCTCAATGATCCCAAGGGCTATACTGGCTGGAACTCAGTTCCTAAGGGTTCAACCATACCAGGAGGGCCAAAGGGAAGCAGCCCGACAAACATCGATTTCCCGGACTGCAGTAACCGTATTACGAGGTTGTCTGGAGGTAAGGTTGAACTATCCTCTGCAACAGAAGTGTAAAGACAGTACGACGATCCACTCAGGCGACTAGCATGTCCATATTTATGTAAGCAGCAATGCTACCTTCCCCCCGATGAAGGACGTACTAGGAAAGGTTGGCCCCAAAAACCGCACACTCCGATCGCCCAAAGGTTGACCGTGACCGTCGGTGCACTATTCGCTACGGTCCAGATACTTTTAAAATCAGAGTCTGGTGCTGCTCAAAAGGCGCCTGCTGTGTTTGGCTGCACTAGAAGTGAGGCAGTCAGGCCTTAAGCTCTGTGTTCTCGGGCCAGGCCCACCCCTGCAGCCAAGTGGGTCACACCGCTGAGTCATTGATTCTGGAAAGGGTCCCCTAACCAAACCATAACAACAGCCGGCTTAGAGCCTACCGGCAGGGTCTCAGAACAAAACCCTACATCCTCCCACTGCCTCGTATGTCAGACTTTTGAGTCAAAGGTTCAGATTGGGCTACCTCAACCAACCCCCCATCTTCGACTTGGGAAATCGGGATGTATCAGTAGCCCTTGCAGCTCTCTTCTCACCTACCTTCCCCCAAGGGGGAGATGGCTCAGTGGTTAGAGCACGAATTTACTGAACGGAAGGTCCGTGGTTCGAACCTGACCTCTGCCTCTCGACTTCCCCCGTATAGGCCTGGGCAACCTGGCAGTATCCCAGCCCTCGTGCTTTCTTTGGGTGGCACGGCAGCTAGGCATCAGAAAAACAAACCAAAATACTTCTTACTAATACCAAGACATCTGATCCACGTTGCAGCTTTTATTGTCCGTACTCTGTCGAATTGCTGAAACCTTGGTTTCCATATCTGGCGATGCATGTTGTGTCTCCGAAACACACATACAAGACCCCCACTTCAAACGTGCATTTCAAGCCGTGTAGGACGAACTCAGATGTTCCAACTTTCCCTCTTCGGGTATCTAGTGATCCCCACACAATGGCCCGTGGCATCCATGATGTGGGTTGAACTCAGCTACAAGGCTGGAAGCTCATCACCGGACTGGATCCCAGTAAACAATCAACTTTGCGCTGTGCGGTTATCTGGCTCAATTAAGACCAATGCAGGTCGATGTGGTAAATGGCGTTTGTTTGTCGTATCAGCATACTTCCCAACAGATTGTAGTTCTGGAAATGAGGATGAGTTTCATCAAGGTCCGTCACAACTGCTTCGGTCGAAAATAAGGACGGATACAGTAGGCCTGGTGAGTGATATGAATCCCAAATCTGGACGACTAGGTCCGTAAGAAGCACAATTAGGTGGTAAATATGGATTCGATGCCGATCGTGCCGATAATGGGGAGTAGCTTCTTCAGTTTTGTGCAGATCACCGCCAGTTACTATCCAGTACAAACTTCCAACACAAAAGCTCACATCGAATTACTTGGAGGACACCTACCACAAGACAGTCGTGGACTCAACTGGACCATGTGGCTATCAGTTATCGATGGAGAGCCTCAGTTAGGGGTTGTCGCTCCTTCTGTGGTACGCAACTCGATTCTGATCACGTCATCGCTCTCCGCCAGTATTAAGCGTGCCAGAAGAGAGCAGGTTCTTCTGTCAAATTTGACAAGTTTCGGTAGCTGAAGAGTATCGAGCTGATCTGGCTAGAAAGCTACTGGAAACGCAGTCATGTGAACGACGAAGATTCCTTGGAGGTTGAACGGAGGCGAGTTAAAGATGCAATGCTTTCAGCTTTCAGAACTGTTTGTCTAGGTCATCTGACTCGACTAAATGGACAATGGACATCGACGAGCTCAGCAGACCTTATTGCTGCCAGCAAGTCCGTACCAGCAACTAGCGACCATGATGGCGTACGCAAACACTGGGTAATCAGGAGCTTGAAGAATGACAGAGAATGCTGGTGGATTTTGAAGGCCCAGGAAATGGAGAAGGCTTTTGCTACAAGCAACAGATGCGCCATGTTTCAAGTGATTCGACCAACCGGTCAAAAGAGGGCAGGCCTAAGTGAAACTATATGCGAGAAAGACTGGACGGCAATTCACTCACAAAATCGTTATCCTGAGCAGTGAGATGAACACTTCAAAGGACAGTTCCTCTGGTCTCCTCCAACACAACCGCTGGAATAGTCCAGCACACCTGTACGGAATATCGCACCAGCACGTCATCAACAACAGCAATCCAGCGTGAGAAGTTAATCCTCCAGCGGACAAGGCACCTAGCGCGAATGGTGTGTACCCCCGCACTCTTCAAAGATGGCGAGGTCCTGGTGAACAGTCTGACATCTATAATGCAGATTTGGAACAAAAATAGAAAACCAACCGAATGGAGCCCTCGACCGTCATTTCAGTTTTCATAAAGGGCACAAGAACGTCATGTGGAAACCATTGTGGTATCTGCCCGATATCCGTCGCATCTGAGGTGCTCTCTGGAATTATTTTGTGAAGGTTGATGGATTATTGGGAAAGACTCGTGAGAATCGAGCTGGATTTCGTCCTGGTCAAGAATACATCGACCGCACCTTTACCTTAAGACAAATTCTTGAGCAGCGCAACTCCTTTGGACGTCCCGCGTTGGTCGCTTTTCTTGATTTGAAAAGTGTTTTTTATTCTGCCGATCGTCAAAAACTTTGGCGGTATCCGGCCATCAAAGGTGTCTCTTCCAAATTTACACCCCTTATGATGGCGCGCAAGAGTATACGGGAAGCTGTCGCCTGAGTTTACCACGTCCAGTGCTGTAAAACATAACTGCTTCCTCTCGCATTTCCTTTTCAGCTTTGTTATTGGTATGCTGCTTGAAGTATCTCTGCCTGCCTCTGAAACCTCGGGAGTCGAACTGCTCTCGGGACGTTCTCTCAAAAACATTGAGAATGCGGATGACATTGCTGTCCTTGGTGCTGTTCCTTCAAAAATGCAAACCATTTTGAATAAACTTAATAACTCTGCAGCATGATTCGGTACGCGCTTCAGACCTACAAAGCGCTGCTACAAGACTGGGTGAGGCCAAGCCCAAACCTCATGCTCTCAGACGAGCCAATCGACGTGGTAGATTTGTTTACTTTAGCAGTCGTATAAGTTCCAGTGGACTGACTCGAGACGAGGTTACTTCTCGGATCGGGGAAGCTAGGACAGCTCTTGTCAACCTGACACCTATGACGCCGACGTGAGGTCAGTTTGTCTGTCAAGGGCAGAGTTTACATTGCGGCAGTGTCATCCGTGCTGCTTTATTGGTCACAAACGTGGCCTCTACGCGCAGAGGATATAGATATGAGTGTTTGATCATTGGTGTCCCCGGAGCATTGGTCGGGTTTGGTGGGGACATCGGACTAGTAATGTTGCGGCACGCCAAATGGTCCTTCAAAGAAGGAACTCTTCAGCGATAGGCGAATTAGTCACGCTTCATAGGTTACGCTGGGTAGGACATGTATTCTGTGTTCCAGAAGACCGACTGCCTCGCAGAACTCTTTTCACCTGTATCAAGTGACATGGCAAGGAAGTATGAAAACACCAGCCAGTCAAGTGAGACGGGTCGGCAGCTGTCGCCTCCTTGGATGTGGACTCCGGAACCCAACTGGCATGATACTGGCAGAAACGGCCCAATCGCCCAGTAGCGCTTGCGCATCAAAGCTATCGCCTTCAATGCGTAGCTACCCAGTTCCCGAACTAACCAAACATGCCATCGGCTCCAAGGCATGGCTGTGTCCCACACTCTGCCATTTCCCAGTGATCGAAACTGTAGCAGCTGGGACAATTGAGCCTATTGTACATGATTTATACCTGATAAAATGGTTGAACTGATTGCCTGATACCATTGGAGGTGAGACTTTACCATAGGTCTGCACGCATTCATGGGTACAGGTATACATAGCCTCTATAGGAGACGGTAATTTGGAAGAAACGCTGGTCTCTATCATAGTTTCTGGAGATCGACGTAATAAAAAGGGGTATTAATTGAAAAATGTTGATCATCAGAGGGAATACTGCATTCTGACTGATTGTTGTGAAGTGAAGGTACAATCAGTTCAACCTCGGTCAGGGTGAAATCTGACTCTCCAGGTGATGGGTCAGTCCATGTAGGATAACCGGAGAGCACCGTAAAAGCTACGGTTGTCCTGGTGATATTTAGGCAACACAATATGAGCGCCTGTGCTGAAACTGTGCAATGGCTAGAAACTGTGTTCAGCAAATAACTGAAGTCACCCTCTAGCTTCTGTAGGCGGGTATCATTCCCGAATCAAGCGCCAGGATGGGCTTCCTCCTTACTTACTCGGCCAACTTGGACATTCACGTTACCTGATGGGACTACGGTATGCATACTTCATGGTGACCGAAGTAGAAGCGACAAATCTCGATAGCTGTTGTCTTTCCCGGCCCCAGAGCTGCCATTTATTAGGGTGCGCACAGATACCATAGATAATCTTTTTATCCTAATTCAGTCGATCAAAAGAACGACCGCAAAGAAGACTGATCACTAGAACTGAGACTAGAGTCAGCTCCAAAGCTGCCATGCGCGGTTGCGGAAGGATAACCAGACATCCGAGAAAGCGCGAGGAACCTGGATTAGCCTTGGGGGAGCACGAAGTGAATGAAAAAACTTGCGGCCTAATAAGCATGTTTTGAAAACACAATACACTGATCGAAAGCGTCAGTAAAATCCCAGAAGCAGATGACAGTTAGCCAAGTTGACACAACATGGACGTGGAAAACATTTTGAATTTGATGGGGGCTTATTTCGATTAACCTTAATGGGTTTTGAATACAAGGCGACAGCACCACACAATCGCAGTGGCTGAAGCTACAGCTATACGATACCACGACACGATCCTTTGTAGACAACAGCGCTTTGTTCGTGTCGGACTTGCCATGATCCAACTCACCTCTCCACACATACATCCCGTGCTGAGCACAACCGCACCACTGCCTGTGCTAATTGTTCCTTAACGAGTAGACTATGCTGTCTCTCACTCGGCTCACTGTTTCATGCACGTCGTGATCTTTAAACGGTGCCAAATACTGTTGTTTTAGCTTCTGCGGCTATATGATGTGAAAAGACCTGCCTATTAGTCGCCCTTTTTCTTAGTCTAAATGGGAATACACTGATCCGTATTACTGCCACTATTACTCGCCTTTGTATAGTGGGGTGCCCCTCCTAACAGGACTGAACCTTGGATGACTAAGTTCCAAACAATGTAGCCTGTGGGATATTTGTGGCACTGAGGCCTGACCACCAACAGTTAACGGCTTTGGGTCGAACCTGCAAGACCCACAACATATTTTCTTCGCTGGACCACTTGGAACGCCACTCCTCAAAAAAAACTGAAAGACATTGGTCCCAAGTCTCCACAGACGTGCATTTCTGGCAGGGAGGATATGGTGCCAGATTCTCTATCAAATGCGTCTCATAATGTCTTGAACAGGACCGACCACAGCGCCATGGCCACGGCCGTCGTGAGTCACTAGATTTTCTCGCTACTTGTCAGAACTGCCCGTTAGCTTTGTCATATTAAGCGGACGTATTCGCTCACGGCTACACTGTCAGATATCCGTACCCTACCTAGTTTGTCACCTTCAGTTGATTTTTTATTGTTCGCCACGGTATTGCCCGACCTGATAATTTCCTTTCAGTGACACCGACATCAACCTGGTAAACGCCAACATCACACCGTCTATGATTGATCGCTTATCTTATGTAAGCTCCACGCTGTCCCACATGTGTGGTTTTAGTCGGTTATCTACCGCATTATCTAAATTTGCTAACTCCTGCGATTTTGTTGACTGTTGGTCAGCAGGCGGGTGACCTGTTTCTGATCTTGGCTTGCGGGATTGGATCCCACCGCGTTATCCAAGCCTTGACAGGAACAATCAAAAGCCAGCGCTTGGGTCAGACCGTGGGTCTAGTCAGTTGTTTCGCATGTTAACCGCTAAGACAGCCAGAGAAAAACAGTGCCCACCCCTCCTGACCACTTACTTACTGATGTCCTCGTGAACCACGCAGTGCTGCGCTGTACGTTTTTTCTGGGTACATGTAGCATGCACGATGCGGAAGCACCGAGTGGCAGTAATTATCCTGATATGAGGGCCCTTACATTAATTACATGAACAGGTTCACGACAATTTATGTGGACGGAAAACAGAGAGAAAGCCCACGATCCGAAGCCCAGCAAGCAGGATTGCACGTCAACAATGCTTACGTATAAATGAACCAAAATGACAGGCACTGCATGCCACGCACACCACCACACAATTTACGTACCTTGCAATGTGCTGAGGTTCGTTCCACCCACATGCCAAGCCCACGGAACTGATTGGCTCAACCGCTCAAATAAACTATTGACCAACCACGCCCCGGAGCAGTTGGTCGGTGCCATTAGCCGCACAATGCACTTAGCTGCAAAACCCTTGCAACTGAAGAGAAAACTTTTACACCTAAGTGTTGCATTTTGTTGTGTATGCACTCGAATCAAAAACCATCCTAATCTAGATTCATTTTTTGCAGCACACCAAATTTCATTGTCCACCGGAGCATTCACGGATTCACGGATTGATACACAGGATCGAGGCTTTTGCCCAAGTTTCCCGGGTCGGTTTTGTTCTTGTCGGTCAGTGGCTGTCGTTCACTTGAAAGGCACAAGTGAAAAAAGGGTGTAGCACTGCTCTTTATGTTCTCAGCGCGGGGCAGTATGCTCGCCAGCGCGAGGATTCGCATAAATAAATGTCTAATAGTGCTTTAAATTGGGTTCGAGAAGGAGCGTGTACAACCGTCGGAGGAAGGTCATTCCACGCAGCTACTACCCGAAATGACGACATCAACCTGGTAAACGCCAACATCACACCGTCTATGATTGATCGCTTATCTTATGTAAGCTCCACGCTGTCCCACATGTGTGGTTTTAGTCGGTTATCTACCGCATTATCTAAATTTGCTAACTCCTGCGATTTTGTTGACTGTTGGTCAGCAGGCGGGTGACCTGTTTCTGATCTTGGCTTGCGGGATTGGATCCCACCGCGTTATCCAAGCCTTGACAGGAACAATCAAAAGCCAGCGCTTGGGTCAGACCGTGGGTCTAGTCAGTTGTTTCGCATGTTAACCGCTAAGACAGCCAGAGAAAAACAGTGCCCACCCCTCCTGACCACTTACTTACTGATGTCCTCGTGAACCACGCAGTGCTGCGCTGTACGTTTTTTCTGGGTACATGTAGCATGCACGATGCGGAAGCACCGAGTGGCAGTAATTATCCTGATATGAGGGCCCTTACATTAATTACATGAACAGGTTCACGACAATTTATGTGGACGGAAAACAGAGAGAAAGCCCACGATCCGAAGCCCAGCAAGCAGGATTGCACGTCAACAATGCTTACGTATAAATGAACCAAAATGACAGGCACTGCATGCCACGCACACCACCACACAGTTTACGTACCTTGCAATGTGCTGAGGTTCGTTCCACCCACATGCCAAGCCCACGGAACTGATTGGCTCAACCGCTCAAATAAACTATTGACCAACCACGCCCCGGAGCAGTTGGTCGGTGCCATTAGCCGCACAATGCACTTAGCTGCAAAACCCTTGCAACTGAAGAGAAAACTTTTACACCTAAGTGTTGCATTTTGTTGTGTATGCACTCGAATCAAAAACCATCCTAATCTAGATTCATTTTTTGCAGCACACCAAATTTCATTGTCCACCGGAGCATTCACGGATTCACGGATTGATACACAGGATCGAGGCTTTTGCCCAAGTTTCCCGGGTCGGTTTTGTTCTTGTCGGTCAGTGGCTGTCGTTCACTTGAAAGGCACAAGTGAAAAAAGGGGGTAGCACTGCTCTTTATGTTCTCAGCGCGGGGCAGTATGCTTGCCAGGGCGAGGATTCGCATAAATAAATGTCTAATAGTGCTATAAGTTGGGTTCTAGAAGGGGCGTGAACAAACGTCGGAGGAAGGTCATTCCACGCATCCACTACCCGAAATGAGAAAAATTTTGTCTAATGAATGTGTGTGCTCTGAGAATTTTCTTACTATGTCCCCGCCGTGTGTTTGCTGGTTCAACGGCAAAAAAACTGTTTGTCAAGCTTTGTTAAAACAGGGCATAAGTGAGAATTAAATCCCCTCGGAGGCGACGGTTCTCCAGGGGAAAGAGATCAAGCATCGCGAGACGCGTTTCGTAGTCCACGGATTTGAGGCCCGCAACCATTCTCGTGGCGGCTCGCTGGACATGCTCAATGATGGTGACGTCTTTCGTGCTTCCTGAGTAGACAACTTGGTTGGCGTATTCCAGGAGTGGTCTGACGTAGGCCCCATAGAGTATCTGGATGTCCATCTGAGCAATAGGGAGCAATCGCACCTCTGGCGGAAAATCTGAGTGAATAATTTCTCAGCATCCCTGAGACCCCGAGATGCCAAATGGGACTTAAAAGTTTGAACTGGTACTCTGAACTCAATTTACCAATTGCTTTGGTCTGTCGGAGACATGTCACAGGTTTCGAAAGTTCGATTCCATTGTGCGAATACTGAACACCCACTGGGTGCAGTTCCCCTGGCAGCAACGAGCATATTTTGACGCTAAGGTATGAGGTCCCCGGCATTTCAGAAGAGGGTGTGAAAAAGGCGAGATAGTAACGGCTTTGCTAATGGGTCAGCTTTCGAAGAGACCTCTAACTTTTCTGACGCTTATAAGTGTTATTATTAAACGGTCCTTGGCTTGCTATCTCGCCCTCCAAGGTACCAGCCATTCGTCAGTGCACACATCCATCAACGGCTGCTGACAGCCGAAGGGGGCAAGAAGTTGTCAAGTTACTCAAAGTTCCTGTCATTGATCACCTTAATATACATGAGCCAGATGCGCTGGTCAGTAAACAAAATCCTATCAAATTCCATAAAAACAAAATGTGTTCAATGTTTGTGTACCAAGTAAAATGTAATCCGTAAAACAGACTTTTCGAAAATTCAGGTGGTTCGATAAGTAGTGCTTCGCGCAAAGACCATTCCCATGCGCTAAGATTTCGTCCACCTACCCGTTGCTCCCGCGACAAATGCAAACTTTGTGCGCCGCACCCAGGTTACAGCGTTCAGGTTTCTAAACAATCCCTAAAATTAGGCTTTTTTCGTGCTGGAGATAACGAAATTTCGTCAGCTTGAGAACGCTAATGTTGCTTCCGAGTCTCTGACTCCGTGTGCAATAACGGCATTTTCTTCAGCCTAGCTCCCGGTCTGAACCTCAAAGTCGGCGTTCCTGAAAATAACTACCCACCGCACAACCTATATTACCGCCCAAAACCAAGGTCAGGGGCAGCTCTACGGCGCGTCGTATGTAAAGTATGCCCCGTCGACAACGTTTTCCCATCTATGGCGCCTTCTGTACGCGCCAATAGCAATAATATTCGGCAAATTCTGAAACTTTAATAGTTGTTGGGTCCAATCGGTGGACCAGTTAGGGCTCGCCCTGATGCTGGACCAATCAGTGGGCAAAACTTTTGCCAATTTTAGCGGGTTACGCTCCTCAGTGCCTAACTACGAGCGGTAAAGCGGTATCTTAAGAGATTCTGCTCGACACTGTAGTCGCAGAGGCATGTGGTAGAATCGTCACAGTTGTGATTGCATTACCAGCAGAAACCCGAAACGTGCTTTTGACAGAGTTGGGTGAATTGCTTTATATCTTGCTAGAATGCGACTGCACATCTGAATTATTTCAGATATGAAATAGCTTTCCACAGCGGCTTGGCGAAGGCTGCAGCGAGGTTCTCAAAACATCGCAGTTCAAACAACGTCGGTAAATTTTGTAAATGTTCGGTTACACACTGCTCCTGTCCCCGGGAAAGGTATGATCACTAACTTCGTGTCATTTCTAACTTGAAAGAAGTGCATTACGTCGTGGTGCTTCTGCGAGGGTTCCTAAGGAAAAGGCGTGTTAACCTTTCTCTAACAACACCGCCAACCTGATGTCCGGAGGACAAAATAATTTTGAACTTCACATTAGGACTGCGAGCAGTCGTCGGTGGTGTTTACGACACCAACTGATTTGAGGAATTAATACGACCGCGCATCAACCTACTGCGCAGCGAAACAATCATGCCAAACAAGGCCGTTCGATTACACCTAAACGTCTGAATCACGTCCGATTTCATCGTGTGCTGGAGAAAGGTCAAATAGGGACACAGAAAGTTCACCCCCACTCCATGTCCAAGGCACCCCGTAAACAAGCGCACAGAGAGCCATCCATGATCGACCGAGACAAAGGAACAACCGCCCGAGAACCGGTGTGGGCATATAGCAGGCACACCAGTTGCTTGACAGTGGATCGACCATTAAGTACAGTCACAAGTGAATCATACATATAGAAGTTTGTAATTGCGTTAGTGCACAGTTCCTTCTGGTCGCTTTCTTCGCTTGTGACTATAACCCAGTAGCGTCAGGGCAGGTGAGGAGATACAACAGTAGCGACGGGTTATCTTCACTTCGAAACTCAACCATGACAGTCAGCTTCGAAAAGTGCAAGCTCTACTGCAACGGTAATGGGCGCAGTTTGAAAAGTCGTAAGCGCTATTTGAAAAATATCAAGCAAAGTTGATTGGGACATTGTCGCAATTTTTTTCAAAGTAGGCAATCAAAATATCAGCAGCACCAGACAATGCTCCTTCACCTGAGACTGACGCGGCATATCAATCAAGACCCTGGCAATCAAGGCAACGGCATTCAAAACGATGGTCAAAATGATTCCAGTGGCAGTCAAGACAAAGCAAGCAAGACCGCGGAAGCCGTGCTGACTGACAATGATGTAGATGAATACGAGGAATACTACTCATATGAACACAAATAAACCTTTGGCTGCGCAAGCGGAAACACAAGACCGTGAATGGATTCGCGTTGAAAGGCCAATCAACTTGAAGAATGTGGATGAACCTTGTCAAATGGCGGCAAAGTCACCTCCAAAATGTCTAGAACAACCATGGCCGAAAAGCAAGAAACCATGGGAAAGAATTCAATTGGATTATGCATGTCCAATCAATGGTCAGTCGTATCTCATTTTGGTGGATTCATTCACTGAATTGCCAGAAGTGTTCCTTTTGCACAATACGACGGCACTGTCTACTGTCGATGAACTGGTTAGAGTGTTTCGATAGTTTGGTAATCCAGAGCAAATTGTGACCTACAATGGAACACAATTCACTTTAACACACTTCAGACAGTTTTGCAAAGAAAATGGTATCGAGCAGAAGTCTTCACCGCCTTGCCACCCGCAATCCAACGGGCAGGCTGAAGGATTCGTGCATACCTGTAAACGGGCTCTACTTCAAGTGGGAGGAAGGTAGACTTCGGGCAAAACGACCCAAGCATCTTTGACGATGTACAGAAATTCCCCAGACCCAAACATTCCCGGTGGAAAATCGCCTGCAGAATGCATGTTTGGGCGGAAAATTAGGACTACTTACGTGGCAAAGCTCGTGAATTGCTCAACGTAAGCTTAGGGCGAAAGACCCATATAGGAAAAAAACATTTTTCAATTTCTCAAAGGCACAAGCCAGCTCCACAACGTTCATTGCTGCACGAGCTACAGGCCGATGGGATACGAGGTGGATTCTCACACCGGCTGGAGCTTTCCCTTCAATGGGACCTCCTCAGAGAAAGTCACATCATTCGCTCCTATCTTACCAGTTCTTAAACGGAATCTCTGAAGGCTTCCGCTTAGCAGTGCTCTCTATTCTGATCGAAGTTGATGACCTTCGGAAAGCTTTCAAATTCACGTCTACAATTATCGAAATATTGGAACGACGAAAGCGCACCTCAGACATATGCCCGGACAGGGAAGCTGGGATCCCTTAGTTTGGAATTTCCCTTTAATGACTAAAAGATCTTCCATACCTAGACAACGTCTTTGCCACGCATGGTTAGAATAGACTACATTCATGAAGAAAACAGACGACAAAATCAGGTATTATTTGGATTTCTTCAGGCATGTTTTCTCAATTTATCACGAAACTCAGGTGGAACAGCGCTCGCCTGTTTTCGGATGATTCAGTGCACCCTTCACCACATTGTCGTCATAGAAGTGAGGATAACCTGTGGAGCAACATCTTGAGTGTGCCAACCAAACAGTCTACTGTAGTGGTCTGGTTACCCAATAAGTTAGTTTACCAGGAGTGTGTGGCAAGGAAATAAAAATGATTACGCTAGGTTGGGTATACAAAACTAAAGAGGTCAGACGGAACAGACTCACTAACAATTGTTCTCTTTAAAATAGTTCGTCGTTGGCCCAGGTCAGCGAATAAACAATAATCCAATTATGTTGGTCCAGAGGTCTTCTTCTGAACAGTTCCTACATATAATAGATTCCGAAGATGTCTGAAATGTTTTGGTACCAGAGTTAGTACATGAGACTCGCGAATGACCGCTGCAAGCGCGAGCGAAATCAGAAGAGAGAGAGTCGAAGCACGTGACCACGCTTGTATTCTGTGAAATTGTACAAGTGCGCGATTTTGTAGTTTTTCGTATTTAAACAAAAAACGATTATGCAATTGATGAAATACGTAGTGTTATAATGGAAGCAAAACAAAGGTACAAAACGCCACACCACTCAGGACACATGGCGGACGTTAACCTCATTCAGCGTGCCCAGCGGGCAGCTGCGAGGATTGTTTTTGGCCCCAACTTAGTTGCTATCAAAAATTACCTGAAGATCCTTGTGCTCTTTCCCTTAGGTCATCGTTGCTTACGAGGGGATCCAGCACACTGTCGGGAGCAGTTTTGGCCCGAAGTTCTTTCGGCGTCGACCTCACTAATACACTGTTGGGGCATGATAACGTTATTTCCAAGATAACAGCGCTTAATTTTATCAGATAACAGCTTCCTAATCCCTGATAATAGATACATGGAATAAGCTTCATCCGCTAGCTGTCCATGCAACCTTCAGGGCCCTAATCAAATAGATTCTGGATGCTTTCTTACGTGTCTCCTCAGGCTGACGAGTTTGACACCCAACAGCGAGAAATAAACCAGCAATGCTACAAATTTTTGCTAGTGCATTTCGGGTGTACGGAAGCTCATGAACGGTAAAGATGCAACACAACCCGGGATGCTTGGACAACAGACTTGTTCATATGTATCAACCCGTGTATCCGCGAATAAGCTCTTGAGGACGCTCACCAAAGTGCAGACAGACATAAAGCATCAAGCCGCAGTAGGGTGAACATGTCTGATAAAAATCTGTGAGACCCACGTACTGGTCTGTTAGCCCAGGCCTGTTTCGGGTCTTAATGCTTAACTGACCTGGACCAAGGTGCAACCCCCATTTTAAATTGTGTTATCATTTATCGGCGAGAGCTATGAATGAAGGTTAGTCGGTTGCGTATTCAGTTGGTCATAGATTAGCGCTCGAAATTCCATTCGTTCCGGAGATTGTGAAGCTCACCCACATGAGCGCAGATATTTCTTGGCAAGATGAATTGGAAAAGTACCTACGCTCTCGAGAACGGACGGTGGGGAGAAATGTATTGAGTGAACTTAGCATGAGGAAGGAGGGTACAATGGATTGGACCAGCATATACAGGTGTGGAGGTTTTTAATAACTGAACCTCTCAGTGGATATGACGTGCATTTCTTGAAAAAGGACCTGCAACCAGATACGATATATTATTTCCGCTTACGCTTGGAAAATATGGATGGACAAGGTCCTTGGAGTAAAGAAGCTGTTGGAAGAACGGCTAGTAAACGTTTATTCATGCTCACCCTCCGTCTCCCAAAAAGAAACGCCGATGACTGGGTTCGATATTCACCGTGCTCTTAAACAAGGAAACCCATCGCTTTTGCGTGAGATCTTAGGAAAAGAGTGAGTGATTTTCCGTTCATACTATCCCACAACACACAAAGATGTTATCTTCCACAGTTGGTATGGCTCTCATCGTTAGTATTTGGTAATGATAATATTATCAGTAATTAATACCCGTTATTAATTTTAGTTGTATCGTTTTTGTTCAGTTCTGGTTATGTGGGTGTCGTTCGTTCGTTCATTGTGTCCAAGGTGGCCAAGCGGGAACGCCATCATTATCTATCTATCTTTATTATTATCCCTTGGCTTCATTAATTTGAGCCTTTTGGCATACCCATGTATGGAGGATATTGGTCAATTAGATATCTTGATTTCAACGGATTGTGATTAAGGGATACCATGTGGCACTGGTAGTTTATAATTGAGCAGTTTGATCTAGTAGATCGAATAGTGCATTTGAAGCGTAACAACTATCCTCTTTTCCCTTTGCGTTCCATTTTATCTGTCTCCATAACTTTGCCATCTTATTTTAGCGACAAAAAATGTAAGAAGGAGCGAAATGATAATGAAAAGATAAAGGCGGGTGGCGGCTAATGAAATCCATCTTACTTGGGTAGTCAGCCAGTTTTAGTCGTTTAGTAATAGCTTAGTGAGTTTCTCAGTATCAGATTCCTGCTGTCGGTGTCTAGATATCAGTTACTCTTAATGAGCCTTCGATACGTCGCCAACGGATGTGTGTGAATTCCTTAACGTTTCGTACGTTTCGTACGCTACGCACAACTACGCACTGATGATGTCATCTTGATTGGTGATGAAACGTTTGCAATCAAATTGCCCAGCTCAGCGAACAAGCCAACAACCAGATGTCTGCTTTGCTCCATTGTTCTGTTTGTATAACTGAAGAGGATCCCACTTCAGTTTAGGTTCTAATGCAAGATACCCTACAGAATATTGGCGTGCACACTACCGGTACCGAAAAGTAACCAGAGATAGGCTGATAGAAACTTATTCAAAACTGGCACATTGATCTGTATCATCATGTGTTAATCTAAACCTCTCTAACATACTATACATGTATTTAACGTGTGTGAAATAAGCTTCCCCTCATCACCGCTTGTTTCTGCAATCACCTAGTCGCATAGCGCATACAATGTTACCGAAGATTAGGGTATACAAGTTTATTTCCAATGCAGTTGCACGTATTAGGGTAATTGCAATCAATATGCCACATCCATAAAACAACTAAACCATAAAAAGATTTTTTCAAGTAAACGATCCCAAAATGAACAATAAAAGACATTTTGCCAACCATTTCCACGACAGGCCGTCCATTTATCTCTACAACTAATAATATATGAAGTAAATTTCTGCTGCTGAAAATCCTGAACGCACCTAACGGGCTATCCAAGACAGATCCAAATAAAGCAAGTGTCGCAAAATGTTTCTGGTTTCAACATCCACTTAATGCCTACAACATTACACATATAAATAGATAAAGACACCGCTTGCTTAATTACACCCGCCTTATGCTCAGAACACTATCGATGGAAATGTATCCACTGATATCACAGTGCTTTCTTTAATTGAGTTAAGCGATAATAAAAGTTAATAGCAGCTGAGGATACACTCACTTCTGGTGTGATATGCCATTTTTCATCACCTGCGAAACAATATGGCAAAGGAAAATAGCCCAAATTCCTGCGAAGGTTCTACAACAAATCTTTCTTAAAGATGACAGAAACGGGGAGGCATTCTAACCAACCTGAAAAAAGTCACCTAAGTGGCTGCAATTTGAAAGTTTAAAATGCGTTAAACGCAAAAGGAAGGAAAACCTGACTAAAAGATCAATACAGTGTAGCTATCTATAAAACATTAACCAATAGTTCACGCTTCCAAATAAGAGATAATACCCCTCAACTGGGTGATATAAAAACTTTTCTGGTCAATTAAGTTCACTAGTTGTTGATCAGGTGGTCGTTGGTCTGTTTACGGAGCTCGATATTTCTTTGGAAAACGTCAACATTTTGCGAAATCTCATCAAAGTTTAACTGTATTATCAACTGAGGCTTCTTTCGTAAGGTAAAAGCACACTGCTCCTAGAGAAAAGAAGGCCAAAATTTAAGTTTTAAGGAAGATTGAACATCCCCAAACTCTGAAAAACGAACTTATTTTTCAATTTTAGTAAACGTTGCACTAAACGACTTGGGTCTAAGTTGTTCACAATTGGATCCCTCCGCTCAGTGCTTCCGCTCACACCATTCTCTGCCAACTGGATATGTCGAAGAGGTTTCTGATGCAACACCGCGACATTTTTAAAAAAATAAACTCACCTTTGTGGGGATCTAGTGCTCCCAAGCTGAGTGGTCAAAAAGCTAACAATCATACAGGTCATTAACAGTATACTCAAAGTAGCACCAATATTACTAATACAACAGATTACCAGGGAGCCTTATACTGGCTTATTAATTATCCATTATTCATCCTGATACCATCAAATGGTGATACTCATTTTAAAGTTCAGAGGGTGTTATGTTCAATTTTACTTGACTGAGCTTACTGTACGATCCACCATGGCTGATATGTGACCGTTGATGGAAACCCAAAGAACTATCCGTAACGCCTCAAGTTTATTTCTGTGCATTGCATAATGCGCTTGTTAGGACAAACAACTGTTGAAAAATTAACACCGGGTGAAATTTCATGCTGATGCATACTGAATTTAATTTGCCCGCAGTCGATATACGCACTCTGTCGCATCAGACTATTCCTCACTCTGATGATACGTTTGCTAAGATAATTTTACTGTCCACTGATATCAGTGAACCAGAGTTCTCTTAGTGTGTCTGGTTTTTCAGGATGTGATGTTGGATGTCATCCTAGTGCTTGACTACAAAATTTACTTGTTGAAAAACCTCAGTAAACGTACTTTCTCTATGTTTTCATCCAGATTGTTTGACTGAGTGTCTAGAAGAATACCTGTCTTTGAGCAGCAAAATGGGGCTCTCATTCGTTTTTTTCCAACTCATTTAGAAGTAGGACTTCCATGTACTAAGACAGATAGTAGAGCATCGATCTTTAACAACGATACTGTTGTCAAATAAAAAAGCAATTTGTTTATTTTGAAAAGAAGGCGGTGAGGACAGACTAGGCAGGGAGTACCATAATTTGTTTTTGCAATTCACAGTAACTGTACTACGAAAGGTATCTTTCTGGTTATTCCAAGCCTTGTTGCTCATGTTTTATCTTTATTTTTGTTTACGCTTCATAATGTTCCTCCCAAAATTCAACGTACTGTCATAACTTGTCGGGATTTCCAGCGTCATTTTTAGAGATCTGCAATAACAAATGGCTTGAGATTCACAACAAAAAGCCCTTGTTTGCTTTACTGGAACGTTGTACCTAATTCAACATCGGTATACGTCAGCGGACACAGCTTAATAATACTTCCGGCCAAACACCAGATGCTACAATGGCTTTGTTTATTGAAGATACAAGAAACGACAAGGAAACGGCCACCCATTTTGAACCATGGAGTAGCTGACCGCCACAATTCTCACCGACTACGGCTGAAAATGGAAACTAATCCATCTTGTTGGTTTGTCCAGGTGGTTGACATTCGTGCTACTGTCTGAAAAAGACCACTTCGGGGCCTTTCATGCTTCACTGTGTTCAGCTACTGAGTTTCGCTGCCAGATGATAGATTCAGTTCAAAACTTGTATGACTACCGTAAGCTGTACGGAACTTTTTACTAGCCAGTCTAAGGGGAAAAGCTCGGATACGATTGGGCCAGTGAAGTGTGGACGTATATATAACATTTTAAAAGGTTATTTTCTTGTATGTTTTAAAACTATTGTTGCCAACAGGTTTGCTTATTAAAGTATGACCTGAAATCACAAGAAATGTGGAATCTGGAGCAAGACAGGACTTAGTGGGGAAGGGAAAGTTTCGGTTTAGGTTAACTAGCGTGCTTAGTGTCGGCTTCATTGAAAACACAGGTTGGAATTCCAGGTGTTAGGATGGTACGTTTGAGAAATTCTGTATCGGGCCGATCCCCAAACACCCACACCAGCGATTCGACTGTTTGCTTGAGTGTGATTTTGTCAGAGTTTTCTGGAAAAATATAGTTGCAGTACTTTTCATATCTACGTAGACCGAGTTCGTGCAATACCAAACGGAGAAGGAATGTCCAGTGTGGCTTGGTTGAATTTGAGTAAATTTACATGCCACCTATACCGAGCTTCAGAGGTCACACTTCCACCGGGTGCATGCTCCAGGTCGTTGACTGAGTGTGCCATCTTGCTTGACATTTATGCTGATGATCAGTTACTTGAAACTGTCTGTTTTGATAACTGTTCTGTTGCGGCATGGCCAAGTTGCGACTGGTCAACTGTTGTCGTCATTAATGTTGTTCCTGCTGTATCCGATCGGTAACCTTTCCATAGCTGTGTGTACGATCATCACAAACCTGCTCTAACTGTTGTAAAGCTGTTTCCCAGTCAGCCTAAGAAGGAAGGCCCGGATAAGACGATGCTGACTCAGTGCACAATAAGCTAATGGATACTTGCAGTTCAGTAGAACAAACAATATAGCAAAGGAACTAATTGCAGGTGCAGAATCAGTGACCTGTAGAAACGTCTAATAAAAAGTCAAAAAGTGACATATACAGACTGGCCACATAGGCACCACACAACGGCCTACCCGGTTTACATATCATGTTTACTGGCACCCTCCGAAAAATGAATTTCCCATTTTATGAACTCTTCTTTTACAACTGATAAAATTCCTTTGTCACAACAACTCTCCCATCAAAACTAGTTGTTCTGATTTGGCTACCAGAACTTAGCGTCATTCTCTGGTTCCCACCTTAGTTTGGCTATAATTGAGTTTTTTATATACGGTCTCTGCATTTACTCTGTACCGCGATGCATTGTATAGACATAATGCACCATTCACAAGGTTGCTGGAAACTCTTCGGCAGCTCACGACCGGTCGCCCAAGAACAAGTAAATGAGAAACCCAGCTGGGCCCCAGGTAAGCCTCTCATCAGGACCAAATTGGCATGCGAATAAGTGCATTCCTCTAATTTCGTGCAATTTAAGATGGGTTGACAGAAACTAGCGGACTGCGCCTACCTGATAAGCCCCAAGAAGGACAAAATCGATCGTCCGCTAATAAATTTCAGCAACCGTATGAGTAGTGTATTACGCCAACAGTGCCCAAAGTAGCTTTCCTAACTCATCAGTGCTGATAAATTCACATAAAGCAATAAAACATGGTAGAACATTTCAATATAAATTTAATGATTTAGAGTGAATAAATGGGAGGTTGTTATCTTTAAGAAAACAGAGTTCAGTCAGATTCATCGCTGCCTTGGAAGCGTTTTCCCCCAAGAAACGCAATTTTACCGCAAGCTCGCAATGGTGTACCTGAGAATCTATTATACAGAACTCTTCTTTAAAAAAGAATCTTCAATACTACGAAGAATATCAAACAAAAAAGCGTGGAAAAACGGAAGTAAAGTTATGGTTCAAATCACACGTTGACAGTGATCACTTTGGAGCCCGAAAACTCTAGGCAAACAATTCTGAGGCTAATCTGGTGAAAGGCCTGGCAACGACCAGTGAGTTCATGCACTTTTCGTCCAATTTTCCTCAAAGCTATATGGGAAAAGGCTTCTCCTCTCTGAAATCCGATGATAGCTGATTTGCATATCAGAATAGCAAAGAACCTGACAGCACATATCTCTTTGTTGAAAAATTCGTTTTCACTCCTCTGTCGTCCCTCTGCTTCATAGACAAGATACAACCAACAACCAGCATCTGTCTGATTGCTTTGTTGCTATTTGTAATAAAGTGAAACAAAGGAGTTGCCGTTCACCTATTGGTCCTAGTGTAACCACTATGATATGATTCTCCCTGATACTACTGAATGAGAATCACGGTCCCTCAATCAGAATTCGGCGGTGAATCATTTTGGAACAACAGGAGATTTCCATGACATAGAAACCATTCTAGCTCAGGTGGACGAATCTGGAAGTAAATTCAACTTCTCATCATAAGCGGAACCCTTTTCCCAAGTATTTATATTTTTTTCACATTCTGAAAGCATTTGATTTCAAACGCATGTGAGGAAGATCGCTAAAGAGTGCTGAGACTTTTAGAATCTTTCATTTCTAAACATTGTCTCTAAATCTACAGATTATTTTCAAGAAGTTTGAATGACTTTGTCAAGACTATTCATTACATTTGTGCGCGTTTGTTTGAGCAGGGGTATAAAGTAGGTTTTGGCATAAGGAGGACCCATTTCCCATTCTTCATCGGTCATAGTTGATAGTACATCAACAGGTTACAACCATCGCTGCGCATTTGGTGGGGGACTCATATCCCAAATGCAATATAATGCTACGCACTATAAAGTCCAAAGGATTGCAGCAGAAAATTTCAAAATGTTTTCCACCATGAGTTTACAGAAGTAAAAACACCAAGAGAACCAAAATAATAGTTTATTTTTTGGAACTACTCACTTTCCACGAGCTCCATTCAATCGTGTTTGGTTGACTTGATCAGAAATATTGATTCCCACTTGTTGTTAGGCTAGTAAGTTTTCGGAAAGTGCAGATTAAAGAATTTAGTCACTACAGATAATACAAGGCTATTTTATTCACCTTGGTTTATCTGTCCTGGTCAAATTTGTAACTTTGACGCTTTTCTGAGGCGCCATACACCTCGCCCCACGAATTACTGTTTTTCTACCCTCCAATCCATCCACCAGGTCAACGAAATCCTTCCTCAATTAAGTATTCATCTGCTCTTAATAATATTTGGCCTAGACGTACTGCGCAGCCAAGTACCTTAAATCCCTTATTTTATCACGCCCATTTAATATCACCAGTGCTTTAGATCTCTCTTATTCCCAAACAGGAAAGTACCATTGAACCCAAGAAGTTAATAGAGTGACCACCGTAACACAACTGTTCAAAAAACTAGTTTTTTAAGTACCAAGACAAATTCTGGCGTGTGGCAGCTTACTATGTTGAACAACACACATGTTGATAAAAGTTTTATTATGAGGGATAAAACTGGGCGGCTGAATAGCGAGATAGGGTGTGGCAGAAACATTCATTTATTCACTCCACCTTTTGAAGTTGTACTACCAAACTGGGTAATGTTCAACAACACACCGCAGAACACGCAGAAACTGTCTTCCACCTCAACAAACAAGTTCTTTTTGCACTGATCGTTAGAGACAATAAACTACCATACTGAGAGCAATCTGCAAATGCTCGTTGCTTGAGGAGCCAATCAACACGTGTGACCGCGTGATGCGAATCCCGTGATTGAAGGATGAGCGGCGCTATATCCTGTCTAAGTGCGAGTCAATCACACTGCTGATCAGCCGCTCGTGGTCAAACGATTGAGTGTTCAGACTACTAGCCGGGAGGTCATGGGTTCGAGACTCTCCGGAGTTTCGTGAGATGCTCACTGCTGATGAGTCCCGATAAGGATGAAACAGCTGTACAGTGCTTCTCGGCTTTTCAGCGTAGATTGGTTTCACTTGCAGGACGATGTCTTCACACAACCAACACATTGCTTACTCTTTTGGTGAAATTATATCTAGTGACGGATATCATCATACGCAGATAGCCACATGGAGAAGCAGACAATGGCAACTTAATAAAGACCTCACAGGTTGGATTCTTTTTATTCATCCTTTACATTCATACCTGGTAAAAGGCAGGGTGTCTCCGTTTGCTCATCACAACGTAAGTTTAATGGTCTACCCAAACGCATTTCCTTTCTGATATATGACACAGTTACTCCTATAATATATATATATATATGCAAACCAAGTTTTGTTAGAAGACGTATCACATTAGGACTCAACAGGTACGATAACAATATGCCTCTAGAAACACCCTCTGATTAGTGTATAAATTTATTGTTACAAATAGAATTCTGAAGCCACAAAGATGTGATAATGCTGTGTCGTAAACCAACTTGGCTTAGTAAGTTTGCGCTGTTTTACGTTCATTATGTTTCATTACCTTTTAGTTGGGTGATTGGCCTTCTTTAGTTTTTCCCTATTGTTCAGAACACAGTTTGAGAGAATTACTTGTTGCGATAAACTTTCATCAATTCCCTCCTACAGGGAAGCATACTTGGAAGCACCGGATAACTTGGGATTCACTCCACTCATGTACTGTGCCCAAAGAAATTTGCAGGAGTGAGTTGGCTCTCCTTCTGTTCCTGCATTTGTGATACTGAGTAGGTGCTGTCCACGTTGTACCATCATTACGATGAACAACGCCGTTGGTGTTTTGATAAAAATCCCACAAATTTAACTGTGTCTAGGCTTTCCAGCTTCAATCAACCACAACTTAAGACCTCGAAGTCTGGTGAGGAAAACTGGTACATTGGTCGAATTTTCACAGACCAGTCGAAATAAAACCAGTATATTAACGAATACCATTCTAGGGGAAAACGCGCAACACATTGAGTGTGTATAACCACGTACACTAGGCTGACAAACGAGGCACGGGCGATGTCACCTCAATAGGTGATGAAACGTTGGCAACCAAACCGTCAAGTACGGCAAACATTTCAGTGGTCTGACAATTGTTAAAAAATGTTCCAATAAAATTCTTGATGTGATCCACACTTTCTCCATCAAACTTTGTGGATGCAGAGTTCAGAGGTTTTAGAGATTATGATTCATACCAGAGGTTGAATACCCATCGAAGTGACAGTGGGCTTTCATTAGATTTAAATCATCAATCATACGGGCGAGGAAACAAAATCGCAAATGTGCCTACTCAAATTGAATAAAGAGCACTAGTTGCTGATTCTCATGAAAATGGTGAAATATTGGAGAAAATACCTGTCCTGTAGGAGCTTCGTACACAGGTAAATCGATAGAAAATGAAGCCCCAAATATATAGGCCTACTGGAATTTGTTTTGTTTTATTATTTTAACAATTATGTTCCTAGGTAAGTGAAGACTGATAAATGAGAGAAACTCTCACTGAGCAGTCACGCCGGAATGGAAACTTACTCAAGTGACGGTGCTAAAGAAAGCAGCGTTGGAAATTTAGAAATTCACTAGTATAAATAGTAATAATCGTTCAGCTTTAACACACTTTGGGTGCCTAGCTGCTATGCCACCCGAAGTAAGCAAGATACCGCCAGTTTGCCCAAACCTAAAGAGAAGTCAAGATGCAAAGACTGGATTCGAACCACGGATCTTGCGGTCAGTAAACTCGCGCTCCAACCATTGAGCCATCTTGCCCGTGCTCTAACCAGTCCGCAGAAATACACAATGTTCCAAGTGTAAAAACGCAGTCAATGTCCTGGGAAAAAAATGCTAAAGTAACCTCCATTTGACCATGGCCAAAATGCTTTGGGCTTTTTGACTCCAAGAACCCTATTCACCAGTGGTGAAAAAACGGTACAAAACATCAACGTTTCATTTAGGTAAATCATATCACTTTTATTAAACAATACCACATAACGAAAGGGAGATAAAACAAAAGGGCCAATTTTTGGCCCGCCGGAAACATTCATTCTCTGTGGATAGAAACTGACAACAAGAATATGATCCACTTAGAGTTGGAACCTCCAGCTAAGTCCCTAGAGCATGCGAACTCAGGCATATACGTGAAACAGATGCATCTAAAGACGTGTGCAAACGAAAGCCTTACCTTCAAGGTTACATTCAAAGTACCATATTCGAAGGTTTCTCAAATCATAATGTTTTTTTCTTGCTGAAAGATGAGATGAGGAAGTGATTCCTCGGAAGCTGCTTCTTCTCATACACTGGCTGCGTTTAAAACAAGATGATGAACTTATGCTCAGACAGCATCATGAAAAATAGGAAGATGTTTCTTGGTGTAACCACCGGCTTGAACGGCTTATACGGTATTCCTGCAAACACCTAAGATTTTCGAGAACTGAAGAGGATGTGAACATTGAAAATTCGCCGTGACATCTTCTTAGCGTTAGTGAAACTGGGGGTATGTGTGGGGCCAACTGTGCCTAAAAAATGCCACTGAAATAAAGCTGATGAAGTGTTTTTAATAGATAGACCAGTTCGGACTAGGCTAATCAAAAGCTAATTAAAAATTGTAGTCCTCACATCATCGGTACAACATATACTGAGCATGAAGTGATAGTTAGTGTGACATTCTTGGATTTTTTCTATTCTGTTTTAATCTATAGTTTGACTGTAGTGATCCCTTATCGCAGAAAAAACGTGGCCGATTACGACCAAAGGTCTTGATGTTGCATAACGAAACGGTACAATTCTCCAGCTCATTGAAACTCTTAGGAATAAGCTTTTACGACTGACCGCCAACTACCTCACCAGTTCTCTGGTGACGTAAATTTTGTACACCTTTAATGTGTGCATTTTATTTTCTTCAGCCCCAACTGCAAAATGAGATTACTTGGCAGCCCGTATATTTAAGTATGGCTTGACTAACTTGTTTTTGCCTAAATTAGACAAAGCAATGAAAATTCACTTGATTATAAATAGGTTGTGGTAGCGACGGATGTCCTTTGTCCGAAGCTACCAAAGACGCAAAACCCACTGGTATAGACTCACCATGCACTTGAGTGCAGTTCTAAAGGAAGTGCTCCTTCCGTTCATCATTATTTTACTGCGTATTCGTCCACGCACACTGGATTTTGCCCCCTCCTGTTTACTACGGTACTAGTATGAATAAACTCACGGGACTTTCAAAGTTGTGATTCTATGTCGGGCACTCAGTCCCTGTAAACTGACCGCACAGCACCGTGGTGCAACATAAACAGTGCTTAATCATGCAGTTCTATGTTCAGTGGATAATAATCCACATTATGACCTGATGTCAACTGTAGAAAGCAATGTCACTGTTTCGACTATCTGCCCGAAATAAGACTCGTAAACGAACCTTCCTGCCCAACACCTTCAGCGTAACGTTCTGCGCACCTCCTACCTCCTCTTGGTCCACTCCGTGCTCCTTATGTTCGAAGAAACGTGATTTATTATTATTTCCCTATCTGGTTTATACCATTTTATCGTAGTGAGTTTAGGCAGAGAGTTTGTGAGAAGATATTCCCATAAATTAACAGGCGTTCAGCAGTGCAACCTTTAAAGCACGCACTACTTAGTAAGTGCACCAATCAATAGTAATTCTGAGTTTAAATTTATTGATTTCTCCTCTTTTTTATAGTCAAAAGTTGGTGTTACCCAGATTTTGCAGGGACCTTGTCCAAATTGCTTTCATGCAGCGGATTTCGAATAGATTGGTGCAGTACTTGCGGTAGAACACAACGTTTTAAGTACCTATGGTGACCTTAACCGGGAGAGAGCTGAAGCAGAAGCAACCTCAAAGACGGGTGCAGTCGGACAAACGGGATTTATTTCCAGAAGAAGCAGAAAGTGTTCGGAGTAACCTAGCTCTGTCAATCAGGATGCGCCAAAATAATGAGGGTGAAGTGAAGTAGAGAGTGAACAGAATGCAGTCAGCACAGCCTGGCTGCTGCGAATTTAGAATCTGTTCAGTTATCCTCAGTTGGTTAACTTTTAAGACCGACCCCTGGTCGGTCTTTCAAATAATCTATTTTTAAACTGCAGAGCTAGCTAACCGGGATAGTGAAATGAGCGTATGAATCAGTGCACTTGAATATGTGTTTCCGGTTGTTTCGGTGCAAAAGTTGAAGAAGTGTTGGGGCACATAAGTACGCGTCGAATACACGGTAGCACTTACTCATCATGAAAAGTTCCCATCTGAAACCGGGAATTTAGGTGACCTCTTCAATACGCACAGGAATTCACAACAGTGGAGTGCAAAACATCACGGTGGAATAAATGGATGGTCGAGTGCCCTACTACTTTAGTGTGTCATTCGATACATCTGATGTGCACTTATTTTCCTTCCACAAAGAAAACAGACTATCTTTTTTCGCCAAGCCTTTCCGCCCTGGCCTCGGTGTGCTGTAGAATAAAAAGCAAGCTCGCTTGCTTTTCTTTGATTGGTACTATAGGCAAGTTTGGTCCAAGTTGATTTGAGGACGGTGTAAAATCCACAACTTGTCACCACTCTTGACAAACTAGCGTATGCCATACGTGCAGTTAATCTGAAAACGAAAGCCGTAAAACGTGTCCAGGAAGGAGGCAATTGTGATTTCATCCAGAAACCCATTTGGCTCAGCATGACGGCCTAGGTTTCGGTGCTGAAATCCTTGTTGCTGACCCCTCCTTGGAAAAAGGAACGGTTAAACTAGCATTAAACATTATTAGAAAGTACGAGAGAATTTAATAAATGCCGAGATGAGCATTTCAAGCACATATAACGTGTACGAAATGATACACTTGAGAACGGAATCCGGCAGCCACCCTCAGGCTTTTCAAAAGCGGTTCCTAATGACTAAGCTAAGGAAGACACTCCATATCCGTCCAGAAATAAGTTCACTTACAACAGTAATGGATATCAGCTGTTATTTTCACACAATGGGGTGTGGCAATCCAGCAGTGAAGTGCAGGTGAATGGTCGTAACGGAGGGGAAACGGCATCGGGAGCATCAGTAAGTGGTGTGCTGGCTGCTTCAGTCCTTCACAGAGCCTGTGCTTTCATTCATGCCACGTGTACTTGAACAACTCACTTTAAAAATGTTTAGTCGGTTTAAACTGCTGTAGTTGTTTTGGCTACCACGAATCACCCCTCAATGTCATTCGGCAATCCCTGTATCCCACGTAGCTGGTCGTGGTAGGTCCGATAACTTATTAATTGACAATTAACTTTGGAAGGTGTTTATATTTAGCAGCAGATTAGTTTGACAATCATTTGTAAACTACAAGAGTGTTTTTGCGCGAAACTTTGATGAACGTTTTGTCTACAGTATGCCTCGACTAAAAATTGTCTGTCGATGAGTCTTCATGAGTTTTCTACCAGATTACCATACTTTTCCTTTCAAGTTGTGGATAATGTTCATTTTTTGGTCTTATGAATGGTGAGTTCTGGAATGAATGACTCTAACGAATGTTTGTTCGTCCATTCTAACCATTGTGCATCTCCAAATGTAGCATGATGGAAGTACTGCTCGACTGGAGCGCTGACCCCAACACACAAGACAGCACCGGGAAAACCGCGTTGATGTTCGCCGCGTTTAAGGTTAGTGTAAATCTATGCGGTGATTTATTCGCTGACTAGTTAGGTGATTGCAAGCCATTTCTAAAGTGTACCGCTGGAGGATTTTGTTATGAAGTAATCCTCTGCACCTTGCAGACGTGTAGATTTTAGCTGAATTCGCGACGGAACTATTCAAGCTGAGTGCCTCTCCACGACCTCCCCGACCTATTGCCGTCAGCCCATTTTGTACATTGAGCGAACGTTTACAAAGCATTTCTATCTACGGTCCGTTAGAGGCGGATAAAGAAGAGTTATGCGGCGTGTAGACAATGAACATGAAAAAAATTGAGCGAGAAAGGGCCAAATATGGTTAGCTGGGTAAACATTTACTGTGTTCGTAACAGCAGAATGTAAAGAAAGTAAAGTCTTCACATATCACCATAAATTTTCGAAACCAACACAGTCTAACCCGCCCTTGAGATTACAAAACCGCAAGTGTTGGTCACTGAAAAGAATAATGTCCAAGAACCTGGTGCAAAGTCAAGTTTTGATAAATGCCCTCTCTGCAAAGATAAAATCAAGGTCATTCAACGACTGATTGACCAGAACAAATTAATAATAGAGTAACTGGCTCCTTGAAAGCTACTGGTATTAAGCTGATGCCGAAGTGTTTTTTGCATGACGTCCTCATCCATGCCTCCAGTTTTTCAGAACTGTCTTTCCCCGAGCCATTTCGCATAGCCGTAGAACAACCTAGCAAGGATCCACTGCCTTGTTTGAAAACTGCAAGACTCGACCTGCCTGGGTCGAAACCGTGGCCTTTTGCACTGGGTTTTCTCCTGTTTGTAAACTGATGCCAGCAGCCTACCCGGGTTCATGTCCAAGCTGCTAAGCGGCTGAAGTCCTGTTCAAATTTCTCAGCCTGCCGTCCAGTTTTACCAAGGAGTTACCTATCCATTCATTCTGTATATCATCCCGCTAACACTCCCTCATCGAGCTGTTGATCGGATTGGTTAGAACAGATTGACTGTTTTGTATTGCGGAGATCTTCTTCAGCACTCAGGTTTTCGATAACCCCCAGTGCGTTCTGCCATCCCTTTGATTCTGCACTTTGGGACGCTTGAGAGATGTGCGTATCCTCTCATGGTCGTTTGTTGGCGGCACAAACTTTCTAGTAGTCGTTGAAGTTAGCCGACCGTTAGAAGATCCAGCGTCCTGTTGAGAGGAGAAAGGTCCTTTGGACGAACAGCTGTCAGAGGCGTGATTATAAGTTCTCTGCAGTTTTTGCAGTCATCACTACCGCACCGATGGATTTCCGAAGACGATTGCGCCAATTCAAATGGTTATGTTTTGGCCACAAAACTTTGTAAATTGTGTACTGTGTGGCCCCAAGTCAGCCGGGTTATTTACGAAAGGAAGATGGATTTTCAGCTATTCCTGCGCAATGTTCTGACTGAAATTGATGTAGGTACTCTGAAAGGTAAAACAATATCAGCTTTAAGCTTCTAAATTGTCGGTGTATGATACATGAGGGAAGTGTGCCAGCATTACATCAGCGCTTCTGTTGAAATGGCGACCCGGCTAAAAACAAGTGACATCTAGCTCATTACTAATAATGTCAGTTTCCGTTATCCGCACGTTTCTTGTCGACTCAAAACAGCTGCTTGAATGAGTTTCCTCAGTCACCCTTAACAGTCCTATTGTCTGTCAAGGATTATGGCATCTGGGCTTATTGCTAATCACCATTATATAACAGATATATATAGGCCATTTTTCCGATCCCCTAATTTGCCGTCTGTCAAGGAAAATCGAATGCTTTTACCGTTTCGCACTGCATTACTTCCTAATTAGTATAGCTAAACGAATATCACAAAGATGACTAGTCACTGCAACCCATCTCAGCTAGTTTTTTCAAGCTCCAAGACTGGGGCCAATTTCACAACGATCAACTGCACCAGGATCATCAGACATCCGGAGAGCAAAACGTGGGTTGTTTGGAATCTTCTATGTGCATTTTCCATGCGCATTTACGGAACTAAACATATATTGATAGAAAGCGGAAAAAATGCTGAGCATGAAATATCTTTTGTCTACCTTGACATAGAATATGAACTATTCAAGCTTCAAAGTGTAACGGGTCTATGTGACTGTGTTCGCCTATTCTGTTCATTTTTCTGAATGGATTTAAACAGGAGGCAGCAGGAATTAGAAATTCTAGGTTAAAGAAGTTACGGGAAATAGTCAAATGAACGAATACCCTGGTGAATGGTACTATACAGCCGCCCAAGCCAAAGAATGATGATTGGCTGAGGGATTTCACCTTGGGCCTTTAACTGTAGTCTGTCCCACGAAGCAGAAACATAACACAGTCTTCCTTAAGAGGTAGCCACTTGAAGCATCGATCAACACCGGATCACCTAACCTAGACAGCGTGACTGCAAGATGAATAGTGAGTGAACTATACTGGTGGCCGGTCAGTTATCGTCGTACTGCAGCGCCCAAAAGTTATCGCCCCGACCTCTCAGTGGTGGGCGATTACAACCAGAAACGGTTTTACACCGTACGATGACCCCAGCTTATGGATGAAGCCTAGACTGAAAATTTGGTATGTTGTTTGTGGCCCTTTCAGAAAACTTGCCAAGATGGATGAGTGATTACTTAAAATTGACGTACCATAGATGTGCTTTATATCCACTGACAAAGAGTGAATCATACCTGATAAATCATCATACACAGAGGAAACACCATAACTCAGCTAAACATAATGAATCATCGGTATGCCACACCTCTGCATAAACTATGCTCCTTCAAGGTAACATGACAGATGAGTTGTGTTTATTGAAGGAAACCACTCACACGGCCAGTGAAAACTCTTTGACAACCCAGATCGGTTCGGCCCATTCGATAGGCACAGTCCCCGGGTTCTCGTCACCCTCATGTTCTAATTGAACTCATATTGCACGGGATCTTTCAAGTAACTTTTTTGCACACCAGTTTGTTTTTAACCGGTGACTTAACTCCACGCCAGTTTAATCTGCATTTAATGCTATTCTTCAACCGGCTGTCCTGTACGAAAACCGTTTCATGTTTCATTCGGGAATATATTCGAGAAACTGCAATGTTATTTCTTGCAGAAAACTACTCATAAGGTTACTGGGAACACTTCCATATCCCCGATCGGAATTCATAAGCTGTTACCAAAGAATACCATAAACGAATGATTTAGCTGAATTTCAGTTGAGCTTCCTGCTAGAACCGGACTTGTGTGCTGATGAATGAATTTCGCTGTATTTGGTTGTTTAATGACTTTCTAAAGGATCCTGAGACCCTACTGACAAACCCGCTGCAAATTTTTCAAAGTTTATCTTCAGTTTGCAGCGCCAATCACTACTTTACATTCAATAGTAGTACCCTAGGCCACTGCTGTCCATCAAATATCTTTCCTCCACTTTTGCTTCAAGGGGAATATTGAATGTATGGAGACGTTGCTTGATTGCGGATCAGATGTAAACATCACTGATCAAAATGGCCTGACCGCGCTTCATATGGCAGTAGACGGAGAGCAACCCAGAGCTATCAGACTACTGGTGAAGTCAGGAGCTAAGCTGGAGGCCAAAGAGGTTGGCATGAAATGGACCCCACTACTTCGTTGCGGTAAGTTTCAAGAGTACTGAGCATAGAAAACAGTTCTGGTATATTTATAACGCAAGTGTTGGTAGTACGTAGGTCATTCTTAGCTTTGTTAACGTTTCCCGAAGGGTGAAAAACACTTTACGCCGGTGAATTATAACTAAAATATCAGGTAACTTCGGAAGGGGCAAGAACGTGATTTATTTCTCTGGGAAGATTCCCGTCTTGTGAAATTCATTAAAACAAAATAATTTAACCACTTTTAGAGTAGGAACAAAAGAGTAAACTTTGTAGTTTTGTGCGTTTTTAGGTTCCATTAAACTCTACTGAGTTTTTTCCGCTTGAATTTCCCAGGACTTCGCGTATCAGGTTAGTTAACAAATGGGGATTGGACTAACACTCTCCTGTATTCTCCAGGTTTAAAGCTCCAACATGCATGGCGATTGGTTTCTTAAGGACTGATTTAGTCTCTCAAACTAGCCACCGATACTGAGACAAAGGCTTCAGTTGCTGGCCCTAACTGTCTCTTTTTTCATAGTCTGGGCCTCATGAACGTATCCCAACTCGCAAAAAAAAATGGAAAAGTCAAATACCAGTAAGCATCAGTACGTTTGGCGACCTTGAAGGCCAAACTAAATTGTATGGCGCCTTCTTTAAAATGCGTAAACCCTTTTCGTGGAAAGGTCGTGGAATATTTAACCGACCTACATGAGGAAATTCTCCTTAAGGAGGACAATTTCGCTACCTTGATGTGAGGCCACTGAAATTCGGCCACAAAAATATCAGGGTATTTTTCACCAATTTAAAGCAGATAACTTTCATGTAACAACTGCAGTTTTAATAACCGTAACATGATAATGGCACAAGCATTCATATGTTTTCATAAGAGAGATTACTCAAGATGTTGCTGAAAACCTTTTGACGGTACACAATCTGTTCCACCATCCTTTAGGCTCATCAGGTAGACGCATTCCTCGAGTTTCCATCAAATCGATGTTCTTCTTGAACCGCCTATGACGGTACAAATCTGTTCCACCATCCTTTAGGCTCATCAGGTAGACGCATTCCTCGAGTTTCCATCAAATCGATGTTCTTCTTGAACCGCCTATAGTGTTGTCCATAATGGTGCCCAATACTTGATCTCTCGAGAAGCAAGTAGGAAATAAAAGCATTCTGGTTCTGTTTTACCTAGTAGAGAGAGAGTCTATTCCACTGACCAAAATTTAATGGCGGACTGTCCCTCTAGGTAGCAGATACCGCTTTACGTATTTCTTGAGTTACTTGGGCTCGGTTTCATTGACATTTTAGTTTAGCTCACATACAAAGCAATATGTTCGAGTGTCTCATGCACCCTGGATCCAGGTTGAAATGAATCCAAATTAGAGCAAAAACATACACGATTTTCGTATGTCTGGTGAGGTCCTAACATTTGCAATGTTTTCTCTGATGATAGCAGTAATCTGCTTAACAAACTGATAGTATCTTGTGATCACCCCAGGTAGCACAAGAATAACCTCAAATTCAATCAGCCAATTAGAATACTCATCCCAAAGCATGGGCATATGCTCTGACAGCACACTGCACTTGTCTATGGCAACTTAAGCTTCTGTTGCGATTTATGTGAAAAATGCAGCAAGCATGCGTGAAAAGCTGTTGCAAATACCCACAGGTGATGTTCGTTGGCCTCGTGCAAAAATAAGGGAACCTATTCATATTAATCTTCTCATGCGAAAAGAAGGCTCCCGAATTGAGATAAATTTCGTAATCACCCATGATGGAGGGAGCAGTTCCTTAGTATCCGATGTACCATCACAATTGAAAGGCATATTACCGGTTCCAAAGCTTTTATTTTGTCTTCACGCACTCTTTCAGAAAGGAAAAATGTTAAAACCAGTCTGAATTAACAACTAGGAAAATTTTTTCAATGAGTTTATCTACTGCAACGTGAAACGCAGGCGAAAGGATTGAGTGTTTTGTTCCACCAGTTCCATTCAGCCTTGGATAGTTAAAAGTGCAAAGCATGAGTGGTGTGTGCTTGTGATTGTTTGACGGCCGGAATTCCACTCAAGCTTCACGTGTAACAGTCCGACGTGCACCTCAAGCAGCTGATGCAAGTAGGTCTGGATGATCCGAGTCATCCTCGTTTGGTTGTTTCAGTGTCCCTTTTATGAGGCAGTAGTTAATGACTTGGAGCCGCTGTGTGAGACTTCCCATTTCGTTCGCTGAATTACTAAAGGAATCATAGAGTTTGATGTAATGCGTAACGATTTCAGATCCATTTCCTGTTCTGATTTCATCATCATCATCATCGACAGCATGACATCAGTGTTCAAAACTGATGCTTCACTGCCGTACAACCATGATTTATTTGAAAGCCTTATTGTAAAGAAAAGAGTAAAGGTGGACGGTGAAGCTAGCGTACCGCAATCATTCCGAGGTGCCTACACCTCCAGACATTCACTCAGGCGATATGGATAGAAATTGACAACAAGAGCGCCTTTGACATCGGTTGGTAGCCATGTGTTGTAGCCTGGCAGCAATGAACTCCGATTTGTAATTAGATGTTTTGATCTTCCATTCGACACTCACCGAAGCTGGTGTGGTTGTTTATTGCCGCACTTTACGAGAATTCTAAATATCCTGCTTTATTGGAAAAGACTTTGTAAATCAGATATATCAGATAAAAGTAGTATAATAAATTGTCTGAAATTATTCGTCGCCTCAAAAAGCACAGTCCTAGTGGCTGAGATTGTTGTGCTGGTCAATAACGGAGAGTGCATGGTTTCTGAGAGGTGGCAAACGTTTTCGACCTAAAAACTATTTGCACTGGAAAGAATTCAGTACCTTTAAGCAACGAGATAATCTTAGTCAACCCAGGTGAAGGATAAAGCCTGCGCAGTATGCGGACCTCACCATCATGGTGCCAAACAAAGCCAAAGCTTTTTCAGGGAATTTGAGGCTTCCTAATTATTTTCATTGGAATGCTCGACGTTCTTGAACAGACTTTTTCACTTGACACTAATTCAACAAGTTTATCAGAAGAAGTTTTAAACGTAAAAATCGTATTAAGTTTAAAATTATCTGCTCCAATTATCTAGTCAACTTCGTAGCGTCTGTTGTCTGTGACACGTTTTTCTTCTTTAAACTACTCTTATTCAAATACCTACTGATATTCAATGTTGTTTTAGTAAAGCATTGTCTAAAACTGATATCGGTGCGTGAAAAAAACCCACAGCTCTCATCATCGTCACTAACATCCTCAACAGCACATCAATGTTCAAGACTAATGTTTTGACGCCATAAAAAACATATAAAAACCTTATTGTGAACAAAATCATAGAGTTGGACGGGGGGAGAAACGGATGCTGGCCTACCACAATCATTACGGAGTGCCTACATCTCCACAGCTCTAAACCGGAATGACGCTTAAATATCCTCCCAGCGGACGTTCAGCCTCGTCACATATAGTTCACACAACCAATTTTGCAACACGATATTTAATTGCCCATCCGGCTTTTTTGCCCCAAAAAGATTTCTGTAGTACAGTGGTAGCAATAAGGCGTACCAAAAACCCACATTGATTTCAACGAATAATTGTCCCAGTGATTTCTAGAATATTCAACCACTAGTGCCAACTTAACGCGGCAGAAAGTGGCTGGATGCTGAGATTCCAACACGAAGTGATGAATAAAGCAGTACCGGTAACGAATCAGAATCGCTAGGATGGTGCGTTAGATTTATCAAGTAGATGTAATAGAGTATGCGCCAGAGTAAATGTCTTCGATAACGAAAGATGGTAGTTCTTCTACTCGGAAAAGGTAGACACGGCGACGTCTATTCAAAGCAGTTATAGCCACGGCTCTGGAATCCGACCGGCATAACTGGAAGCCCCCATGATACGATATATAACAGATCCAATTAGCAAGAATGCTGCCATCTTCCGACCCAACTACCCGACTGTTCATCGTTAGTTTATGGTGGATGGTGTTGAGAAAGACCTTAGGTCATTCCGATTCTGGGTCGCATCAACAAAACCCTGGGTTTTCCACGGTTATTTGTGTGGGAAGACTGATGAGACCTCATAGAGCCTAATCTATGGACAGGCCCTGTTAAGGACTCCGAAGGCGGGTACGCCATCCAAGATTTCAGTGAATTTTCACCCCGCCCATTTATGCCGGAAGAATTACTATGATGAGTGTCAAGTTAGTGCCAATATAATTTGCACATACTTAACTTATTCACGCACCTCTGCCAGCCGTAAGCTGAACACATACTGACTTGGAACAGTACCGAAAATACACCCACCTGTCTTGGTAACTGATGAAGTGCAGGTCAAGCATAATACCAAGACATCGAAATCCATGTTACTGTGTACATCCTATAGCTGAAGCTTTTGCTATATGGGCTACCTCCACAACATGTAACCATCGGTTGAATTAGGCACTAGCTAGTAAAACTATCCCCGTAGAATCCATTTCATTCGATAAAAGATGCAGTTGATTATTCGCTCCCCGCACCATGAAGAATAACATACCGACTGAGAGAGAGCATCCGTTCTCTTATCTGATAGGCCGAATTCGAAAATGAGATAACACACTTCGTTGAGTAGTGACACTTCGTTTCTGCACCACAAAATAGTCAGTTAACGTTCAAAAATGAAACTAACTGAACGGAATCAGTACAGATACATAGACGAATCAACCTCAAGCTCCAATCTCATGGGGGGCCTTTCGCTTGTCTCGGGAAACTTGTGTTCAAGATTAAGGAAAGGGACAAGTGGAATGAAAACATTTAAACGTGTGTGGTGAAAGGAATAACGAAAAAGTTTCAGTGGCAGTACTTTTCTTGTTCCACTTCCAATTTTAGCGGGACTGAAGAACAATGGGAATGTTGAAGTGGCACATGAGCTTGTGCGACTTGGGGCCGAAATCGACGCTGCTGACGAAGATGGCAAAACGGCTCTACATAATGCGATCTTGAACGGTCATCATGATCTCTGTGACTTTCTGATCAAACATGGGGCGAGCCTGGAGTTGACGACGCGCGTAAGTGATCATGTGTAACGTAAGCAATGCTAGAAGGCTAATTTTGTGATATTCTATTTAAGATATTTCTGGAACATTTCTACAGACAGCATGACAAGCCTTAGGATTCTTTTTAAAACATTCTGGTAATTTGAACGTGTGTGGGAGCCAGTTTTGGAGTGCCTCAGCAGCAGCTTTATCGCTTGTTACTGAAAGGATTCAGTAATTGATTTTATGTGTTCTAATAAACCTGAGCGCAATCCCGTTTTGTGGGAGATGAATTCCGGGCGCAAACTTAATGTTGGCTTACTTCCTGTGCATAGTGAACTCCTGAGAGGTCATTAAAATGATGTTACAACAACTTGGTGGAACTTCCTGATACCATAAAATGAATTTTTTATCGTGACAGCTCAGGTGCGAAGTTGTGAACTTTTGGAGTTATACCAACAAGCTCATTTCGCATGTCAGCTACCATGCGTTCACATTCCGGCCGCAAAGAGAGGCAAACTCGAGTTCAGCAGTCCTCCGCGGTGGACTGTCCGAAAATGGTTTAGGACGGGAACAGCATTGTTCAAATGCCAGTGATAAGTGCAAACTCGTCTTTTTCGTCCTTGAGAGTTCTCCGCCTTGCTGCTTTCAACATCTTTTCTTGACAAACGTGTTTTTTTCGAGCCGTTGTGCAGTCAAAGGTCAAATAAAACCAGGTATTTACGCGGTCATGACCATGAAGTGATTGAACTAATGCACGGTTTAAAATGGAGATAAACTCTCGAGAAAATTACCGAGATCGATCCCAATGTGTTTGATCGACCCGCCTGCAGTTGAGTGGTTCTTTGTGATGTAGAAAAATGGCTCGCACCCAGCAAGAATGATCATTTGGTCTGGCTTGTGTCATTGTCGAACGCCGCAGCGGAGTTGTGTTTATGTTCTTGTGTCAAAGTGTATATATTTATAAGTCCATTCCTTGGCAGTGGATTTTTGTTGCACTCCAGGCAGAATAAAGTCGCTAAATACCACAAAGACTACCGGTTTCCTCGATACCATTGGCTTGCGGTTAGACATTTACATTTATCGCTCTAACGTTGAACTCAAGCTACAGTGCTGCGTGCATTTCTAAAGAAATCATCAGCGCCGGATCAAGTGTTATAAACTGTTTCGCGGCTACTTCATCGAAGGAAAAGAGTTTCGTCTCATTCAGATTTGGACTTTTGATTCAACAGTTTAGATCGACAGAAGGATGCTAGATCTAATATGATAACCCGCTACTTGAGAGTTTCTGGTTTCAGACAGTACATTATAACGTTCTCTTTAGCAATACTACCCGCAGCAATTGCCCCAGAAACCTGGCTCTTTTCGAACCAAAGATGTCAGTGTTATGACCGGGAGAGACAAAACTATGAATTACTGGGGCAAAATGTTACCAGTAATCCTTATGTGCATAATAACTACCTTCACAGCCATGGATTTTTCAACGAGGTTTATAATCCTTTGGTTACACTGAACGAATTACTAATGGTCACGAAAAAAACTTTGGGAAATCAACGAGCAACTTTGTTCAAAGCCTCTTTCCTCACTGTTTTTATTGGGCCAGTGTCACGGGAATAGCGCAAATCACTGACTCTGGTCAATAAGAATATCTCGTATCGACGAATTTCGGTCTTTGTGCTCTCATGCTGAACGCAAATAATAGATGTATTTCATCACTGTATCTTGTTTTTGCTCACTTGCTCTGTGATCCATGAACTGAACTACGTATTGGCTGGTAATCTGCTGCACCTCACAAGGCGTCTGGCACAAATTTCCGTGGCCCTCGTGTTAGGTTATCAACAGAGGTTTTACGACAATTACAGATGGAGTTTTAGCTACAATAGATACAACGAACGTTGGCGTTTTGATATCCTATAATTTATCATGGAGCCACGCCAAAAGATTTTTTCAAAGAATGTAGTAGTTCATTACCGGAAAGTCAAATAAAACTGGTTTAGTGTGAGTGCTTATCCGTGGAGCCCTCTCGTCAACTGAATTAACATCTCCGCGCAATCATTTGACCGCAATCGACTTTTGAGCAGCCAGATCTGCTCATCTGGTACAAGTGATATTCAAATCAGTCTAGCTGTGCAGACTATGGGGTGCACGAGTGAGTTTGTGGACTCCAGTAGGCAGAAAGTGTCAGGATACCGTTCGGTCAATGTACGTTCTAGCTGCACACAACATTTGCCTCCTAAATGTTTAGGGCGAAAGTTGCAAAATGGGTTGCTTGTTCTGTCGTAACTCAGAACTTGCAATGTTGTTTCGAAGGAACTTATAACAAGCCGTAGGGTAAGTATTTATTCCTCTTATCTGCGAAATGCATTTCGTAAAGATCAACAGCTTCAATGTCGCTGTCTAAACTTTTTCCTAATTTAGCAGCAAAGATGTCTGTCAGAGCCGGTCCGTAAAAACTCGACTCCAACTCTACAGTAACGGGTCCCAGTACTTTGACGGCATTTGAATGAGCTCCTTGCCATACCGGATAAACAGAACCATTCGAGTGACCAGTCATCATCTTCAATTCTGAGCTCTCATTCCCTTATTTTTTTCTATCCTTTGTGGACATAACTATAGCTACCGGAAACATTAATTTAGTAAACTGTTTTAGAGCACAGAGTTCGTTCAGATAGGTCCCTAAGAAATAGCGCAAAAGCTACGGATTTGAGGAGTGAATTCTGCTAAATAAGGATATTGTCGGGTGTTGACCGTCGATAACCTTATAAGTACTATATGGACATAGTTTTATGTGGACCGTCTTCAGAGGTTCAAGAGGCACTGGAATTCGTTTAGCTAAGTGACTGTGGGGTTTCACTCATGGTCACAAACACGTGCACGAAACGTTAGCAAGCGATACGACTGCGGAGCATGACATTCGACTGACTTAGAGTACCAAACCCAGTTCGCGTAAAAATAAACCTGCGACTCATTCTTTATCGACATGGTAATCAAGGTATTCGCATTTCCTTTGAGACTTTGTGGGATGTTGACGTGTTCCATTGCCCTTGCACATATAGGTAAGGAAAGCGAAAGGTTAGTAAAGTCAGCTGACTTTTTTAAATTCTGTGAGTTATTAAAAATATTTTGGAGCACGCCTCCATAGCAGCGCGAATGGGTGTAAGTTTGAGTCGAACTAGAATGGCGTGACTGCTTTGGTGCGGGGACACAGCGTTTCAAAATTTCTCTAAACCACCGGAGCTTATATTAGTGTGGTTTGTGTATACGACCACCAACGCCTCGACACTAGTCAGGAAATTTGCTTACGTCAATAGCGAATGGAATATCTAAGAAGGCTGGCTAGTGTCTTCGTTTTGTTCCTGCGAGTACGCATGACCCCTTCAGCCTCAATTTGAGGGCGTTCTGTTGCAATCCTCAGATTTCTGTTGGGAGAAATCAACAATTTCCCTGGACGATTACCGTTGGGACAGTTTTCCCTAGAACGCAATGCGAAAAGTTTACATAATCACGTTGCGTCATCCACAACGCAAACGATCGACACCTCCTCTTGCATTAGCGCGTGAGTCTCCAAAGCAGGAAGTCAAACATTGTGTTTGACTGTTTGTTTGATGAAAACAACGTAAGTATGAACTGAACTCATTCCACGTGCTCTCCAACCCCTCAAAACGTGTATAACAGAATAAAATAGATAAAAGAATAAGCTGCAGCTGCAATACTTGGGTGGGGATTAGTATCGTTGGTTTCATAGCGACGGAAGCGCTATTTCCTTCGAGGAAGTATCTCACTTCCGTTTTTCACTCGTAGATTGCAGCACGAGTACCAGCAGACAGCTTTGCTTCAGGATTCTCCGCAACAGAGCGTATGAGCCGAAATGAGTGATACTTCTATTCTGTTTGTTTTCAAACAAACAAAAATTCTGATTAAGTCGGCCCATCGGGTTCTTTCAGAACACGGACTGAATCACTGTTTAAACGTTCAAATCGTGGGTGAGCTGAACTGCTAACCATAAGGGACTGTATGATCTGGCGGTAGCAGTTTCTATTGATAAATTATCCGAATGTGTGTCCGGAGTTGTAGGCAAATCTGAACGATTGTAGTAGGCCATAAGTCTTTGTTTCATTATTTCATTCACATCGGTTTTGAACGGTGATGTTTCGCTGTTTCTGATAATGAGGATAACGGTTTGGGGCACAGCTTAGTAATAACATCGCCAACCAGGGAGATCCTCCCATCGGCTACAGTCCACCATGGATGTCCTCGTCTGCACCTAAACAAAGTAAATGAGTGAAGCAAGGGTGACTTATATCAACCTTATCCATGTACTTCAAAAGACTATGTAGGCTTTACCAAACTAAACGCCAGAACTTATAACTTAAAACGGCTACTACAGCTAACGGATTTAGGTGCGCAACTTAACTTCTTCGTTCTTCGGTTGGTTATCTTGAACACATTGTTCTTTTGCCCTCACCAGGAACAGTTTATATGGTTTTGCTTCAGTAAGTAAAAAGGCATTAGGACCACCGGTCAGCTAGCCTTTTTCAGTTACCATCAAATTTAAGATATCCAAGTCTTCGGTCTGTCTCATATACTGGAGTAACGGTAACGGGATTTTGAACGAACTCCCAAGATACGTTGTGGTTCAATGAGATTATGCCAGCAGATATTTAGCTCATTCCATACAAAATGTGAAATCGGGCATATTTCGCAGCACTAAACGTCCATTGTTGATAAATAGATAATATATAACAAATTCTGTAGGAGCTCTGCCCTCCAGTACCTACACATATTCACGATTTTTATCTTCAGTTCGTTCACGGTATTCAGCATTTTGGTCAAGCGATGCCGCACATGTTACTAAAGTACACCTATATCCATGTCTATGACAAAAAGACGCTCCATGGTAGCACTATCGATGTCTCCAAACAGGCAGAACAGATCAAAGTAATGGTATGCAGAAATGAAATTTCCTTCGAGAAACTGGATGAATCCGTTGACATTGCGGTTGAATTTAGCTAGAAATCGGTTAAATGTGGAACAAGAGGTGTCTATGATAACATAGAATACTTTTATACTAGCTCAAAATTAGTCGCTGGTTTCCAAAATTACTTATTGGGCCTTTGCCTACTCAAGATTCTCATGTACTAAGCAGAATCGGAGCAAAAAAATTAAGTAAAAAAGGGACACTGAAATGGTAGCTGTCTGCTCTGTGTCATCGTCCTGGTTCTTCTAAAGTGCAACCAAGTAATTATGGTCTGGAATGTATTGTTTGGAAGGTGTATTCTTCAATCTATGTGGAGAACCTGTGGTGATCAGTATTTTTAGCAGATTTTTAGCTAGTGACTCAACACCATTGGTTTACAAATTATTATTTTCATCATTATTTCACACTTCGTGAGTGCAAACAGAAGACTTGATAATTTTAAGCCCATATTTTCACCAAAAGTTAATTGGGGTCAATACATCCGGCCCCCTCCCGGCGTCTTTTACCCTTGCTGATTTTTCTCACGTGGATGATGGCTGATCAGTCACGTGAAATAGCTGTTGTGAGCTGATCTAGAATTTAGAAGAGCACTGGTGAGATTTCTGCTTTGTGTATTCACACCAGATCGGCTGACCTTCCTTCTCAGTGTCTTCAGAAACCACCTTTCTATATTCCACCCACTTGATGACCAATCAAACGGAGTTACCATTAGTTCGTCGACGATGGAAAGACGACTCAAACTCACGCCTTATGGACATACAATATGTAATGAAGCAAAATGAAAGGTGGAAATGGAAAGTGGGGGTTATTCTAATCCATCACAAACAATCGAGATGATTACTACCAGTTCACAAATAGCGGACAAACCACCGATGTTCTCAGGGTACGCTGGGCAGTTTTGACAGCAATGGATAACACATTCGTCTTATTCACAGTAGGTGTTATTCCAGGTAGAATTAAAAAAAACCAGGCAAGCTACAAATGAGCTAGTTTAGTTGCGCTGCTTTTGATGTTGCATAATTGTGTGTGATTTCAGATATGGGTGACGTTTTTGTAGCCACAGAAATTAGAATTGCCTCCATACAATATGGCGAATGGATGGATAAGTTCATGAAATTAGTCAGTTTGTTGCCATTTGTTTTTCACCGACAGACTAACCACAACGCAGTAGAACTGGCAGAATCCTTCGGGAACCGAGTGAGTCTAAATTTATTCGAAATAATTCGCGACTTGTTGTAGAAAGTACTGCAGGTGATTCAAGAGGCTTTGAAACAACTGTCCGAGGACAAACCCATTTAACCCCAGAGTAATTCAACTGTCTTTTCACCATCAACAAGTACACGCCGTGGTATTACTATCCATACCATATCTGAACAGAGGAAATCCTCATTATCTGACATGTATTTTGTAAAATGTGATATACTATATTCCGCATTTGACATATTCCTATTTCTTCCTACCATTTTCCGCTTGATATAACCTCACCCGGTGGAGCCACTGTAAGTCATTCGACGCAACACAGCAAGCTGGTTCGAAGGCCAAGCGAAGATTCTAATGAAACGTCCGAAGTATCTGCACCCAATTTGATGCGAGTAACATTAAAAAGATTGAGCGTTGTATGGGGTACGGTCAGATGAAATGACCAAAATGTCCCAGAGTGACAGTTCTGCGTAGAGTTTTGCGGGCTGTAGCGGGAGTGCCCTGGAATAATCCAATTTATTGTGCAGCCCAAATCAATACGGCAATATGTTCAGTGAGTTTGAACTAACGCAGGTATGTTCGTCTCTCTCTCTCTTCTATCCCAATACGGTATATATCATGCCGAAGACCTAATAAACCCTGTGGGATGAGGTCTCAATCAGCAGCTTCACCTGTAGTTCATTTGGACATACATCCAGTGATAAAATTCCCTGTCGGAACTTGTCGGGAAGCCGAGTGTGATAAATGACTATTAGTTCAATATTGGTGGCCAACCCCATCACGCTAAGTGCTAAGTTTCTTGTAACACGATGTGCATTTTTATCTTCCCGATTGCCTGGTGGTGCGACCAAATGATTAATTGTTTGTTGTGTACTGACAAACAAGCCGCGAGTAGTTTAAGCTTGTCCAGCACATTCCATACTTTGCGGAAACCACAGCCATATGCGGTACTCTTACAAGTGTTGACCTAAGGCTCAGCATCTGCTTCCTATTATTTGTTGAGTATCCGTCAGCTCTTAGGTTTTGATGATTCTAGTGGTGTCCACAGGTTACTGGGGTCAGTCGGCAAGTCCAAGGACGTTCTCCTTGTCCAGTAAAGCCCCAATTTCGTTTTCTTATTTGAATCACGTAGTTTGCCTCGAGGAAAGATTCGTTCTTTGTATGAAGCTATGTCAATATTCAGTGTGAGCAAGCAAATAACTGCAGCTAACTTAATCGCTTGACCCAACGTCAGTGACGCATCTGTTTGGATATCTTCTCCAACAGTGTGCTAATAGTACCAAATTGACTTGCAGATGAAGGTATTTGTCGAGATGAGCTTTTCATTCCTATTTCGTGAAGACTTAAGAAAGAAATGTCTGACCTGACACATCAACTGGTCGCAAACCTAACCAAGATGGTTTACTGTGAATGATGACAATGATGACGATGATGATAATAATAAATACTTTCAGGCGTCCCACTGTAAATAACACCCCAGTCTTCCGTCTCATAACAGTTCTATTCAACTAAATGTCTATTCAAAGGTTTCCGGCTTGCTCTCGCGATCCATTTCATTGAAAGGGAAGACTGGTTTTGGCCGATTGTGAAGGAAACAAAGCAATTTACAACGTAAGCTCGTTTGCTGGTTTGGTCCTAACAGGGGACTCAAATAAATTCCATTCGGATAACTCGGTTATGATATTCTTCAACCTTATGCGCTGCATAAAAGCCGCATCATTTCTGGTTGGTACGACACTGGATATATCGCAGTATAGTCTCCTGGCGGAGAGTCGGGAATTTGCCTGCCTGATGAGCCGTAGGGGGATAAAACTGAAGGATTCCAGTAACCTTCCTTCGGGAAAACAAATCCAACATCAGGTATGGAGTAAACATCTTTCACAAAGAATTCAGCAAAAGAACTGAAGCTATGCATGGGTCAGTAGTTCAGCACAGGAGTTTGGTCTTTTGTCATATACACATCTGTTATTTCTGGAGCTAATCGAACGCAAAGGTTGACTCCCGTTATGAAATTTGTAAGCGTAATCATCGCTTTAGTGTGGGTTGTATTGCGTGAGAATAATGTAGCGAGGGATATCAAGCGACTTGATGCGCAATTACCAGTGACAAAAGTAAATCTACTATTGCATGCCAGTAAATGTATCAGTCCTTCCCTCGTTTCGGAGGCGGTTTCACAGTGTGGCTGCCAGAGGAAGATAACTATCTGCCACTGGACGATAAATGACCCTCTGTTGAGGATCGGATCCTCGTGAGGGAGTCACAGAAGGTGCCATTTGTGTAAACCAGAAACGGGCTTTCCTCTTCATGCTCGCGATAAAAAACAGCGTTGCACACAGGAAAGAGGTGATCTTTGTTGAGTGACTTCATTTTATCAGGATAGATTTACTTTTGTTCTCAGTCAGGTGAAATTTTTACCGATTAATATTCTGAAACTAAACAGGCTAGTTGAATCTGGACGGTGCTCAAAGCCTGCTCAAACAGATAACATCCCTGAACTTCATAAAAGTAAGTTGTTTCTACTACAATACTTCTTTTTATCTTTGTCCCATCTGAAGTGCATTTTTCAAAACAAAGTGATTTGCTAAAGCGTACACTTCAAGCAACGGCTCAAGGCTCAGCTGTACACAAGCACTTGGGTAACAATGGCAGCTACAGAAACTATTCAAAATATGCCGGTAATCGGTTGTTTATCATGTTAATTGGACCCGCATCACTACCGCAGCTCACGTATAGTATTTAATACTAGCCAAACGTACGTTTCTGCTAACCCGGTTCAGTCGATTATGATACCAGGAGAAGGTGAGCTAAAATGAGCTAACGAAGATCAAGGCACGGTAAATTTTTCTCATTTGAGAGCTGAGAGAATGCGTCCGCAATACCGTATCCTTCCTTCCCCTGAAAAAAAAGAGCGAACAATCGTGAGTAATCCCGGAAATGACTGTTTTTGGCATTAGTCACGCATTAAAATACCTTAGCTGTGATTGAAGGTAACGAAGCACTATGCCAGACTACAGTGCGTGGGGTAAACAGCTGTGGGGCGTATGACGTTTTGCAGTCCTCAATGGAGACGGATCAGTTTGTACTAGGTAGGCTGTACATTTTGTACACCAGAAAACTCAAACTTTCAAACGCCGCTTCGTATGGCGAGACGCATACAAGCTAATTAGGAGGGAAGTGTTACGTTTAGGGTAAACTTACTCGCAATGGCGACTGCTGTCTACTGGGAAGAGGACTACAGGAATGGACCAACTAAGAGTTGGTCTGAGGTGTCACGATTACTGAGTCAGTGAGTCTTTACCACCAAATCGCGATTCCTAATACACTGCCGTCATAATCTTTATTTCATATGGAACGCAAAATGATCCAATGGACTAGCATGCAAGCTGTTGGCTGCAATGTAGCTCACAGGGAATACGATCGATGGGTAATAGCGCATGACCTTATTGCAGGCGATCAGGCAGCCTAAACACAGTGACCTGGTAATGGACAGCAGCACCAGTTATTTGGCTATCAAGAAGATATCTTTCATTTCTAGCATAATCTTACCGGTAAAGCACAACGCGAGCGTTACCGTATGCCACGCACTAGTACACCCTCAAGGTGCCCTTGGATAGCTTGGCGATATTCCATTCGATGAACGATCAAAGTGACCGCCGTATGTGGTTGCGGGATTTATGGATTTCACATTCACGTCAGTCGTTTGAACAGTTTTCCTCCTGCCCTGTACCAACTGTTCTAGCAAGTTCACTGCTGATGAACTCTAATAAGAGCGGGACTCGAGTCCAGTATTTCAGTCCGTTCTTGTGGACCCACCAGAACCATTGCGTCCGATTACGTGGAGGACCTTTCATACGACGGTGACGTAATTGTCAAATAAAACTGCCGAGCAGGCGTTTTCTACAACAATTAAATCGGCTGCAGGTGATTACTTTTGTAAGGTGGACTAGTGGGTATCCAGGCAATTCAGAGTGTTGATATTCCCAGGGCCCGCGCACGTTGTGCAACTTCACATGTTCAAAGGGGGGAAGAGGCTGAGGTAACTTTAAATAGTTAGCTTTGTTGAGCAATGTAAAGATGTGTCACCCCTCAGAGCTCCTGCGCCTGATGAGATAGCAGCCGTCCTTCAGGCGGTTCTTCCCCGCTACCTGCTACGGACGTTAGATTTTAAAACCTCGCTCAAAGGGTGCCTTACAAGTGGAATACTGAGTCACCGGTTTCCAACATCATTCTCTAGCTGGCTGTAGACCGATTGTTTTAGGATAAGGGCTTCATCTATTCGTTTCAAATGACCCAACCACAGAAGGCGGTTTCGCATCACATTGCATTCAAATTCAAATGTATTTGCTTTTCTTGGGTCGGTTTGTTCATTTGGCCCGAAGGGGTCTGCACAGACACTTAAATTGGATTCGGTTGCTTGTATAACGTCCAGTTTTCTGTGCCACACGGTAGTGATAACAGCACAATAGTCGGATGCATCGCACTCTTGATATATATATGCACAAGGGCTGGTTGTTCTGTTTGGAAATTTTGAGGGAGTAAAATGTCTTGTTGGATTCTCAAATTTGTACATATATACATTGTGGTTGACCGGTCAGAATACATCACTATACGTAGAAAATCCTAGGGAACTCAAGTTCAGGTCCCAGAATATCAGGAAAATGCACACCTTCTATGAAAATACTTTACAAGGCATTTATGATGATACGACCTACCCACACTACGGCTGAGTCTGACCAAGCGCGTGGCTAGCCGTCTGTTTGTTTGCTGTCATGATAGATGATGAAGTCATTTGGGCTTTTTATGTCTTCCTAAAGGGCCCAGATTTCGGCAGCTTCCATGCACATTATTCAACTTAACTGAGTTCGTGGCAAAAGTAATATGAGTAGCTTTCGCCGTCATGTCACTATCCCATCCTCTCACCAACTAGCAGTCGGAATATCAAATAACATCGAGTTATTTGCAAGACTTCTCAGTGTTGCCGCTTCCATTAATAAGACACGCCATTTGCTGATGGGACAGTACATGCTCATATGTTCTAA